ACTCTCGTGATCATGCCATACTGCAAGGCCTCTGGCTACTATTGGTCTTCTCTGTGCAACTCGAGACACATGCATCATTGCAACCATCCTACAAACAATGCAAGTTTGTTGTGTCATACACTACAAGTCATCTAAAAGTGCACAACTCTGTAACCATTAAGTTCGGACCGTAGAGCTGTCTTTGGGCGCGGTCAGCCGCCTTGTGCAAGATGGGGCTGCCTGCACTCATGGCTGACAATTAATTGCACCACACATGATATGCATCATTAAGTCACATGGTATAAGAGCCCGCATGGCATGCATTGCAATCTTACATACCCAATTGGCCTCCATAAGCGAGCCAACTATACTCATGTCACCCATGAGCTGGGTCATGCCAGGTATGCATCATCCCAAATTGCAGGCCTCCGCCATCGCGGCCATGCAAATCCTCAACATGTAGACCGCAAACCTTGAGCACGTACTGCGCAGTATCTTGCAATGATACTGCATTATGAAACGCTTGAAACACATGGAGCGGTTGCAGCTCAACATAGAAAGCATGCTGGGCCATGTGCGAAGCAAACAAGCTGATAAGCAACACGAGCAGACAAATTGGAAGGTTATCCATGAGGGAACACAACGAACGCCATGCAAGAACATGCTGGTTGGCTGTGTGTCGAGCTGAAGCAAACAACTTTACAATACGACATCAACACAAGCTGACTTCATGTGGAAAAGCTGTAATCTCCAGCGAGTCTAGCTTGCCTCCTCTCCCTTCTTCTGGTACACATAGGTCAACCCGCACTTGCCGCAGTAGTGGCGGTCAAAGTGGTTGGCCATGAAGGTGCCAGACCCGCACTCTGGGTTGGGGCACTCCTTCCGCAGGCGGTGCACCTTGCCAGACTCGTCCACCTTGTAGTACTGGAGGACATCAAGGAGCCTTTGTCAATATTGTTGCCATATCAACAACAAAAGGGTACTTGGTATCTGTATCTTGCCCAACAATGCAAAGCAACGGAACCAACAATCGCTGGAAGCACTTGTGCGGCGAACCACGGCCCACTGGACTGACAGTCGATAACAAGCAAGTAGAGACGTTCCATGAGCTTACTAAGACCTTCTGGCATTGTAGGACAGACTCCATGGCATAGCTGGGTAAGGACCATAGGGCCTTGCCGCTGAGTCTTGCTGCAATCAAGCCCTGCAGACTATCCCCTTTCCCAATTCATGTCAGGGCGTGTTCTGCTGCACAACGACTGAAACCCAGGCGCTCTTTCTTCACAGGACTGCAGAACAAGGTGATGCCTTACCTGGAGGACCGCGAGTTTGACCTTCTTCTTCTTGTGCTTGATCTTCTTGGGCTTGGTGTAAGTCTTCTTCTTGCGCTTCTTGGCCCCACCGCGCAGCCTCAGCACCAAGTGGAGGGTCGACTCCTTCTGGATGTTGTAGTCCGCCAGAGTGCGCCCATCCTCCAGCTGCTTGCCTGCGAATCAATGCCAAGAGGTGAGCAAATCTGAATCAAGGGTCATCGTTGAACGTCCCCTTCGAAATTCAGTTTGCAATTGTTTTGCCACCAGCCCCCGGCACCTTTAAAAACCTCATCTGGTGGACCTCCCTGTGCAAGCAAATCCAGAGAAAGTGTGCACATGCGCTGCTGCTCCATGCTGACATTCTCAGCAAGAGCCAACAAGACTTGCTTCAGTTTTCCTCCGGGTCGTTCAAACGAGGGATTCGCTTGCTCTGCTAAAACTTATCTAAATTCGCTCTATGATCACTTCTGATGACGACTTTAGGGGACACCATTTTCCCCCATTTGAATTCTCAGTCTCTTAGTGAAGGACAAGACAAATACGAGGGCCCACCTGCACAGCAACCTTGCCCTTGACTCAAAGGGTTTTCAAGATTCTTGCAACCCGTCCGGGCTTCCAAACCAACTCAAAGAACACCTCTGCTTCTCAGGCAAACTATACTTAATGACGCACATACATAAACAGCTAGCTCTCCAGGTCCTCACCTTCCTGGTAATGGTCTTGCTCAGAAAGCAACACCATTACCCACTAAAGCGCGACCCTTAAAACAAATGGTACAAAGCCTTGCAACATAAAGTTATCCCCATATCCAAGAGCTGTCAATACAGAGTGGTCAGTGTATGCAAAGCTGTCACCGCCAGGCAAACCCTAGCTTTGCAAGAGGTCATTGAACAAGTACCTGCAAAGATGAGCCTCTGCTGGTCCGGAGGGATGCCCTCCTTGTCCTGAATCTTGGCCTTCACATTGTCGATGGTATCGGAAGACTCCACCTCGAGGGTGATAGTCTTCCCCGTGACTGCAAAGACAAAACTTCAGGTTGAGCAGGTTTGCCTCACCAACCACGTCCAACAGATTTTTCGCAGGGAACTGCTTTGCACAGACTCTTGAAAAGGAGCCGAGCGATCTGAGCCAAAACATTGAAACTATACCCATCCTCAGGACACGGTCCAAAGGCGTTTTACACATCTCAAAACCGCTGATCGCTCAGTGATGGTAGAACAACTTACGGGTCTTCACGAAGATCTGCATGGCTTCCCAGCCACTGGCTACGAATCTGACCGCCTGCTTAGGACTTTGTCCCTCCTCGAAGGCGGCCGCTCTACAGCCTGCCGCGGCAAAGAAAGAGGGCAAATCAAGGAGCTTCCAAGCCTTTTCAAGCAGCCCCGAGCTCCAGTCAAGCAGCTAGTGTGAATTGGTACCAATATTTTGATCGAGGGTTGGAACTTGAAATAAGTTTCTCGAAGTTTAACAGCGGGCATCATCGACGGATCAGAATTGCGCAGCCTCCCACATGAAGCAAGTCAGTACCACCGGGTCCCACCCAGTCCACCTGGATTGCGCAGACTGCTCGCTACCGTATCTAGGATAGGTCCTAGAGCTCTATGAGTCTATCCTTGTCTAGGGAGTCAGGGAAGACTGCAGTCTGTAGACGGGACGTGGTGTGGGCGGCCAGGACGGCTTCAGCTCCTCGGAGTCCAAGCAAGGACGCCCTGTATCAAGACGTTCAAAACTGCATCCTTATCCTGCGTCTGCACAGCTCTAGGATTGTCATTGTTCCAGGCATATAAAGCAAGCTCGAAAGTACCTACGTTGCTGAAGGGAGGTGCTGAAGGCAGGTGCTGTTTCTGTTGACGTTCCTTACAAGTACGGCCTTCTCCACCTTCTGAACAACAGGTGTTCAAGCAGTTCCTTTGTGTGCGTTGAAGTTCCTAGGTAAACTACCTGTAGGTTTAGGGTTTTCCAAGCAGGTTCCTAGCAGTACTTTCACCTTGGATGTAAGATGTCGGGCATCGCGCGGGGGCGATTAGCCGAGGAGAGGAAAGTCTGGAGAAAGAATCACCCTCATGTGAGTGCCCCAAGATTCAAACCAGGCCGCGGTAATCAAGCTCACTTCTGTTGCATTGCTCACTTACTTTGAGTATCTGTTGCAGTGTTTCAGCAGATTGTTGTTGGAAGCTGCGGTTTTATCAAGCCGGCAAACAGAGGCTTGCAATATTTACCCTCAGTTTTGTGCTTCATTGGCTCCTCGCTAGCACCAGGGACCTGAAGGAAGAAGTGGTCCTATGCTTTTCTGGACATGGCCTGCACACTGCTGTTTGTATTCAAGTGGGGCTCTGTTTGGAGAGGATTTGTGTTTGATGAAGCTTGCTGCAATTCAGTTTGGTTGTCTTGTCGGGTTTTCTATTCATTGTCTCTCCATGAGGTGCTGCTCTATAGTTGCCAGAAATAGGTGCTGTCATGTCAGCCGCGAAGCTGCGGTTCGAAGATTGACATGTGGGACTGCACTTCCCACAGATAAAGTTGATACTTTACAAGCCCGCCTTGAACAGTTCAGCTTGTGCTGGAAGCAGACTTCAAGGTCTTTCTTTCACTTCGACGGAATCCAAGTGCATGTTTCTGGACATGCCTTTCTTATGTTTTGTAGCCCCTTTCTGTTTCCCATTGACATAGGGAGATTAGTGGTTGTATCTGGTAAAATCAGGTTGAGTGGATCTGAAAGAATCTAAGTAGACTTAATTGTGACGCTATGCTATCATAGCCTATAGCCCCTTCCTAATACCTGTCAAACCTCAAACTTTGGATTACATGGCTACTTGTCGGGAATCTGAACATTGAAAACTCACTTATTTGCTCTTGCAGGGTTTTGTTGCCCGACCAGAGACCACCTCCGATGGGACGTTGAACCTTATGACGTGGCACTGCAGCATACCGGGCAAGAAGGATGTGAGCTGCGGGAAGCCCCTTCCTTGATGCTGTTCCACCAACTGCATCTGTTTCTTTGGCACTCCGACCCAGTCCTTGCTAAGAGTCCAAGTGATCATAAGCCTGGTATATGTCTTTGTTAACTCAGGACATACAAGGCATATGCTACCACTTCCTCATGGTGGTGTTACGCTCTGCAGACGGACTGGGATGGGGGTTTCTATCCCCTCACGATGCTGTTCAGCGAGGACTATCCGAGCAAGCCGCCGAAGTGCAAGTTCCCAGTAGGCTTCTTCCATGTAAGCTGCGAAAATTTTACTCTGTCCCTCTGGCTCACTTTGTGTCACGGTTTCTTCTTATCACATCATTCAATGGTACTGACCGTAACTCAATGTGTACTCCATGCCTCGTTTCCGTCGGCTGAGTTGCGGATGCTTCTCATGGCGTTGGCGTAGTGCAATTGAGTCATCTTGAGGCGGTGGTGCTTTGATCTGAGTACTCATTCCCACCTGTAATGGCCGTGTGCTTTCTCAATTTCGATATGCTCAGTCAACATGTCCATTTCCAAATGTCCAGTCCCGTAATTGATCTATCTGGCCCTACCTATTCGAGTCGATTTGTTTGTTGAAGTTATGATGAGTTCGGGCCTAAGGTCTGCATTCAGATATTCCGCTATGAAAGGAGTGTTGTTGAGCGGTATCTTGAAGGCCGCTCCAGATGTCTCCCGACATCAGGCATCTAAAAGTGGTCGACGTAGGTCTGGACGAATGCAATTTCGGACTGGCAAGAGATTTATGGGGTTTTGGAAGGCCTTTTCGATTCTTAGACGTAGAAGACTGCACAGTGTGGCAGACTGCGGATTGGGACCTAGCCGTCAGAGCTCCAAATCTTGATTGGTGCGGGAAAGCGGCATCGCGGCTTGCAGCGATAATCCTGTCACTCGAGTACCAAACTCCGCAGACTGCGAAACTAGAAGTCTACTGGGTCCGGAATCCAACAAGGCCTTCCGAGATGATGTAGATTTCTCGCCTGTTCGAAAATAGATTTGTCCAAAATAAGTTCGATAACCATTACCTGATGACACTTGAAGAGACGGCATTACGGGGTAGCCCAGTTTTTTAACTTCCAACCTGAGCTTGACTCGGTCAGCTCTGTCAGCAAGCAATTAGTTTGCGAGGACCTTTGTGAACCTGTCCGATTTGGAAGCTGTTTGGGATCTGCAAGCATTGCAAGTCGGTATCGTGTCGCTGTTCGTTTCTCGTCTCATGCCATCTTTAATTAAGTTGTCATTCAAACGGAAAAGTAGCATTGAGCTCTTCCATGTCATTCTGCAGCCGAACATCTACCCATCCGGTACCGTTTGCCTGAGCATCCTGAACGAGGATACGGTGAGCTCTCTGAGTTTGTAAGAAATCCTTCTATCCGGCCGAAAACTGGGTAAAATGTTGGCGCGTTTCAAGGAGTCTGTTCAACGCTTCTTTTAATTCTTTCAAAATCGACGGTTACGTTGAGTACCGCAGCATTCATTCTTACGACGACTGTTGGCTCATGACAGCCCGGATCGAAGCGTGATCGAGAATTTGCTCGTCAAATGCCTTCTACTATTGCAGCTTGTCAGGTCCTCGGTCAAAAGTCGAACGTAATGACCCATAGGTGTGTACCTTTGATGGCCTCTAGAGCGCTTGCAGAAGAAGGCGAGGATTGCAATCGGATCCTTCATATGGTCGTCGAGAGGGCGTTTGATTCTCATCTCTTCTAGTCTTAGGACATGCTTTCTTCTCACTCACAGGGCTGGAAGCCGTCCATCACAGTCAAGCAAATCCTGACCGGCATCCAAGAACTTCTTGATGCCCCCAACCCTTCGGATCCCGCACAGACGGATGCGTATCAGCTATTTGTACAGGTGAGACACTCTTTTTGTGGGGCACCGAACGTGAATGTGTTGACAAACTGGGAACGGACCTGCCTCTTGATCTGCCCTGTTTTGATTTTCTGGTTAGTCAGGAAAAAGCACCCGGGACGCTTGGTTTTATGGTGCTGTGTTGGGCAGTGATGGACGCTGTCCGCTTTTTATTCTTGCCAGCTCAACGATGTCCATTTTTCCGCAGGACCGGAAGGAGTATGACCGAAGGGTCCGTCAACAAGCGCTGAAATACCCCCCAGCAATCTGATTGGTCATGTACATAAAATGGTTCTGATCATTATATCGGGGGAGCAGCTGTAGGGTTCACTTTAGCACCGCTGCTATGCAGGGAAACAGTAAGCATGCATCTTGCATAGCGAAGGTATGGTTAGGGGAAGGACTCTCTTGGTCTGCGTCCACCATAACCAACTTCATGAATTGAAGGACGTAGCTGCCAAGAAGCGTTCTGAGTTTCTATATGCCTAAACCTAGTCACTACTTTTGAACTTGTCAAGCGGTTGCATGCCAGACACAAAAGATATTGAAGCCTGCATGCGAAACCCATGTGACGGCCGGGTTGTGATTGAGCAGCCGCCCATGTGCATGGCCTAACTTATCATGCAATGGACGACAGGCCGGTGCGCGTTACATTGGAAACATGTATGCGGAGATCTGGACCGTCATTGTGGGCATTGGAGTTGCAGCATCGGCCCCTGATGAAATGAAATTGAAATAATACATGGGCTGTCCAGCCTATCAAATGTACTTCAGAACCTCAGATGACTTAAATATCGAATGAGAATTGCCGGCCTCTATATACAAGTTCGTCCCATATGCGACGTGGACCTGGCAGCTAGGGGGCCGCCGATTTCGTGTGCACGGCGCCTGCGCCCCCGCGAAGTGATGAAATATGATGTATGCGAAAGAGTAGCTGTTATAGGCTACCGCGTTGAATTGTTCGTTTTGCTGGCTTAAAAACGCCCATGCACGGTAAGAAATGATCACTTAGGCTGTCTCAGAGGACCACGTTTGAGTGGGAAAACTATTGTGATTCAGGAGCTGATCATCCAATCATAAATCTACACCGCCACGAATCGTCCCGCCTGGTTGCGGACAACAAGAATAAACACGATAAAAACAACACGACTCCACATGCAGACGAAGAATGCTCTCAAAATACCTTTGCATATTCACTTTATGGTCACATACAAGGTACGTTCATATTCTGGCTTGAGGTGTCCAATCACGTTGGTTCACTTACGGCCATCTACGACCGGAGTCCCTCTTTCTCGTCCGCTGGCAGTTGCACACTCCAGCTCGGTATCTCCTCCTTGGACGCTCTTATCAACGCGCCCCACAAGCGTGCTATGTCTGCATCATTGTCGCATCTCTCCCGTTTTTCGGGTTGTCTCTCAAAGACTGCCGCTTCCATGTCATTCAAACCTGTCTGCATCAAACAAAGTATTCCTGAGCATTCCGAAGTCTAGTCTTGAGGTTCACTGAAACCTCAAAAAGCCTCATTCAAAGTAGCTGTCCAAGTTTGAAAGCCTCCGGCGTCATTTGTTCAGGTAATTCACCTCGAAGTAAACCTATCGTTTTGAATTAAGCTTCAGCCCTTGGACGACCTGCAAAAGCTGGTTTTAGCTTTTTGACATGAACTCCGGGTGGATCAGAATATATTGTAGCTAGAGGTCGATTGTCATCATAAGTGGAGGTCAGCTGGTTGCGCTACTTTCCATGAGCATTCCAGAGCTCCTAAAAAGACGTTGAGGGTTCACTTTAATGAGCCAATCTGTTCTGAGGCTCGCTTGATCCGGGGGACCGTCCCTGAGATCCACGTGAGCTTTCGAAGCTGAGGCCGAGTGCATAATGCCACCAGAGCCTGAAGAAGCTCACCTTCGACTCGAGGTTTAGATGCACACACTGTTTTCCCAAGGTCTCCTCCTTGCAGAGATCCGCCATGACTGCGCGATACCCAGGGAGCAGCTCGAGCTCGATGGCGTCATTCCACTCAAAGAGTTGAACAGAGCCGTTGGCTATAACGAGAAACAACCTCCTTCTGTGCACATCTATCAGCAGGACATTTTCTACTCCTGCCTTGTAGTACCCCATAGCCCGCCACACGACTCCGCCTATCGGCCCACGGCTCAAAGTGACGGTATTTTTGTTCTGAAAAGTCAAGACGTCAAACCTCTCATTGAAGGCACCCGTCTCTATGATTGCCTTCGGGATCAAAGTAAGAGGCTGCGTCTCTGATTCAAACTTCGCATCCTGGAAGTCTCTTCGTTCTGCAATCCACACCTCTGGAAGTTGCAGAGCATCCTGCTTGTCCAAACTCAGTCTTGTTCCGCCTGCGAATGTGACGAGGTCAGCCGCTGACGAATCTATAAAAGCGTCAATGCTGCATACGAGCTTAGTCAGTGCGTGGCCTTGCTGTGGGGAATGGCCCCAAAGGCTTACAACGACAGGTTGATGCCCTCCTCCGGTGAACGCTACCTGTTGATATTGTTCGGTCATTCCTTTCAGAAGCTCAAATGTAAATCCCCTGGGATCAAAGAAGACCTTTTCTCCAACCACAATAGGGGGTCTTCGTCCAGAATTTCCGGTTTCAAGTATGACAACAGGCTGAATCAACTCTGGATGAAACAGGTAGATTGCCATCTGCACGCTGGTTGGCTTCTTGCAGATCAGAGGTCTACCTATTGCCAGTCCTTGCATCATTGATCCGGGACCCCCAAAATCTGGAATTTCGTCCACTTCTTGGAAGGAGAGCAAGGGCTGATTCCTGCCCCGGCCGCAGCGCCAGGGTTTGTGAGACCATTTTTATCGGCTGCACGGGACAGAAGTATGCAGCTTTCAAGTATCAGAATAAAGAGAACAGTAAGCTTATGTTCGTCAACTTGAAGACGCGGTGACGCGGCCGCCGCGTTCCAGGCGGGCCGCGGCCGCGGGCAGCTTCCCAGCATGCAGCAGACCCGGGTTTGCGTGGTTTGCGGGCTTCCAGGGAAGGGTTAGCACGAAACGGAGGGTGGTCAGGCTTGACTGGATTGTGCTCGCGATCAGAGTCTCACGTTGGAGCTGCTCTGGCGCAGACCTGCGATGATGAAACTTTGAAGTGGCGCTCTTGAAATTGATGGAGGGACTTGGTCCCTAACCATCAGGCGCGGTATGGTATTGAGAAGAGTTGCAGTGGCGTTTTTGTAGAATTATCTTCATTCTCCAGGGACTAAGATGTTGGGGTTTCACAAGAGCATTGTGGAGGAGGTTGCGCAACAGGATGGGTTGGTGGTCATGGCAGCCGGCCTGGGCATGCATAAGGTGCGTGGCAGCTCCTCTCGTTGTACTGCAGTATGCTGCTTAAGCCCCGATTCTGGTTCGGATTGTTCTTTCTGGGGTTGATGCAAGCGAAGTTCTGAGTCAGGTGTCAAGAGTGCAACTAAGTAACTTTCTCAGAAAGTCCACCACTGATTGTGAGGGTTTTCCTGGCATTGATTGAGGATGTTAACTTTCCCCAGGAATGATCAGCGTGTTTCCTGAGCTCAATTACGGTTTGCAAAGTCAAAACCGTGCCCTTAGTCTCTGGAACCCATTTTAAACTGTCCTGGTGTTGTTGGTGGACAGGTCATTGCAGCCATCCTGACAGCGCACATCAGAAACCCCGAGAACAGGGAGAAGGTGGTGCTGCTCCTAAGCGTAAACCCCGAGCAGCGGCAGGTGCTACAAGAGGAATTGCGGTTACAGCATGAGCTTACAATAAAAAACCCTCCCCCGGACCCTCCCCAAACTTCTGAACAGCCAGCCACTCAAGCCCCTGACTCCACTCCAAACCCTGAGCCTTTCCAGGGGGTGACACCACAGCCTGGAGAAGCTTCCCAGTCTGGCTCCCCCTTGCTAGCAGGCCCCGCTACAAGTACCCCCCCTGCCACCACAGCTTCAAGTACCCCCCCACTTGGAAGCTTGGCTCTTTCTGTCCCTCCTCAGACTGCCCCCCTGCTCCGGGAAGTAGACAATCAATTTTCCAGCCATGAGCGGCTGGCACTGTATCGGGGGGGCGGGTGTCTGTTTGTCACGAGCAGGATTCTGATTGTTGACCTGTTGAACGAAAGGGTGCCCCTGGGCCAGGTGTCAGGCATAGTGGTCTGTAACGCACACAGGGTCACGGAGACATGTGCGGAGGCGTTCATCATGCGGCTCTTCCGAGCGGGCAACAAGAGAGGGTGAGTTAGGAAAGGGTGTTGATCCTGTAATGTTTGTTGCAACGAGCTGCCTGATTGTCTGCTTGTCTTCAACGTGCTCGCAGAACCTGCTTTGAAGCATCTGTACTTGCGGTAAGTGGTTCTGCAATTCCAGACTCTGTTTAAAGTTTCCTTGTGTCCATGCGTTAATTCTGACGTCTGCAGACACCGAAATTTTACGGTTGGACCTCGTTTTAAATGCTGGCGCGTATTGTCATTCCCTCCTCCAGATTTAGGCAGCCCGGCTGACCTCATGTTTCATCAGACATGCTGAACTGTCATTGAACCGTGTGCCAAGTCAGTTCTTAGGGCATCAAATGATTTCCCTCGACCTGTGCCTCCTCTCCCTGCAGTTTCATCCGTGCGTTTACGGACCGGCCCCAGGCGGTGGCGTCCGGTTTCAACAAGGTGGAGCGCATCATGAAGAGCCTGTTTCTGAAGCGGCTCTACCTCTGGCCGCGCTTCCAGATGCAAGTCAGCTCTGCGCTGGAGGCCAGCCCCCCCGAAGTGGTGGACATCAGGATGCCGCTCTCGCCCGCCATGGTGGCGATTCAAGAGGCAATCATCCAGGTAGGCTTGTTTTCTCATTTCCAGACCTGTTGAAACATAGAAGCTTTTCAACATTCTTAGATGTTTCGAAACATTGATCATGGTCATGAACTTTCCACTTTCAGTTTCCCAAAATGGTTGAGGCCCCGCTGCGTAGAGTTCTGCCTTGTTGTGCTGTGGGACTGCCGCCAACAAAGGCGAGCCACCCACGTTCGAGTGAGCTTCCCTTAATTCTTGACGTCAATCTCAGTTTCGGGTGGGCGTTCCTAACTTTTGAGTCTTCGAGATACTTGCTTTTAACCGCCTTCGTGAGACAAAATGAGACAAAGAAGACCACCTCTTCACCCTGCTCGTGCTCGCTTTCACAGCCCACACCTCAGCACAGGATCTATCACATACGAGATCCTGTAATCACATACGAGATCTACAAGAAGACGTGGACATCGAAGTTGCTTACAAAAACAGCAGAAAACAGTCGACGTCCTTCACACTCTCTACCATGATCTACTCAAGTCGCTTTTCGCCCCCCTCAGGTAATGGACGCGTGCATGAAGGAGCTGAAGAAGATCAACAAGCTAGACGTGGAGGACCTGACGGTCGAGAATGGGCTGTTCAAGTCCTTCGACGAGATTGTCAGGCGGCAGCTCGACCCCATCTGGCACACCATTGGTCGGAAGGTGAGACGCTTTCGCCTCGTTCCCCGGCAATCCAGTACCGAAGCAGGGACCGTGCTTGTGCTGCGGACTCATGATTAAGGGGTCAGGAAGGAAGATAAAGCGTTTTAGAAAACGTTTTTCAGAAAACCCAATCCGAACATTCTAGCTAAGCCTACTTAACCTGCTGTCATTCGAGTACAGGAACTCACTTCCCGAGTTCATTCCAATCTAGGCCGTCACCGGCCCGTTGTTTCCAGCAACATCTCTTATTTTCACGATTCTCGTCCCTTTATGGTGACCTTCTCTTCAGCAGTCAACCCTGTGTGTGTCAAGAGAAGGGGGAAGTGCTCGTTCTTTTAGTACACAAAGATGATTGAGTCCTTCACTTCCTCAGATGAGGAGATCTGGCAAAGATAAAAAGAACGGAAGGATGAATAACCATAAGACCTGGAATTGTAAGAGTTGGCGTGATTGTCTGGCGTTCCCCTGACCCTTGAGCCGTCCCTCCTCCAGACCAAGCAGCTGGTAGCCGACCTGAAGACGCTGCGCAAGCTGGCGGAGTTTCTCCTGCGCTACGACGCCGTCACGTTCCTGCGCTATCTCGACACGCTGCGCCTTTCCGAGGGCATCCGCTCCGTCTGGCTCTTCGCCGAGCCCACGCACAAGATCTTCGAGTACGCCAAGCGCCGCGTGTATCATGCCGTCAAAACAGGGCCCGACGGTTTGGCTGTCCAGCCCGCCCAAAAGAGAGGCCCTGTTGCGGCCAGTGTCGCTAAGAAGCGGAAGGGGCCGGGAGGGCAGCCGGCGGCTGTACAGGGCCTGGGGAATGCGAACGGGGCGGCTGCAGGGGCCGCTGCTGAAGGGGTTCCAACAAAGGTGGAGCTGGAGGTAGTCCTGGAGGAGATGCCCAAATGGAGGATTCTGCGAGTGAGGATCGGTGTTAGGGTTTTCGTTTACTCTGCACGGATGTCTCTCCTTCATGCACTCGTGGAAGTTAAGTGTCACTAGGCACTCACTTACCATATCTTCTCCTTTAGATTCTCCGTTTCGTTGCAGTTGAGACCAGACCCATTTGCTTTGAGGCAGAGCCTACGGACGATAATGCATGTTTGGATTCCTGCAACTCTTCCGTTTCAGGGGGTTTTCTACATCTCAAAGCGGTGGCCAAAACGTTTCGTCTGTAATGGTCGCTGCAGCTGCTCACGGCAAGTGGACCCTTCCTTGCTGCAGGAGATATTGGAAGAGATTCAAGAAGAGAAAGAAGAGCTCGCAAAACAGCGAGCCCTTGCCGCAGTCGCGGCCATGGAAACCCAGGAACGGACCGCCCAGTCACCCGCCCCGGACCCTCTAGAGGTGGGCCCCAGCTCCCGCGACCCGGCGGGACGTCTAGCCGATTCCGACTTCGCCACCAGCGGAGGCTTTGTCAGAACCACCCCCCCATTTGTGAACGAGGACGACGGACCGGTGCTAGTAGCGGCGAAAGACGAGCGCATGTGTCTGCAACTAGAGGCGTGCATCGTTCATGGGGGGGGGGCGGTGATGCGCGCGGAGTGGGACCGGTTCCTGCTGGCCAAGGCGGAAGTGCACAAGGCGCGGCAAAAGGGGAAGAAGAAGGCCGGGGGGGTGGAGCAGCAGGCGGCAAACGGGCAGCCAGGTGACTCATCCTTTCGTACTCCGTACTTTGTTTTAGCTTAAACTTTCAAGAAGGCTACGCTTGAGTACCGATGTCTAGAGAATACTGTGAGTTGGTGTATGGAGGACATGCGGGGCGTTCGATGAGGATGCAGTCGGAGAAAGAACGTCCTACTTGCTTCTTCAGTGCAGCGAAGCTACTCCAACGAGAACATCGTTCTTCTCCCTGGGCTAGCCGTGCTTATCCGCGGCATCCCTAGGTTTGTGAAGCCGGACTGTAGTATGTCTGTCGCAATTGTCGGGAGCGTGCGTGTTCGATTCAACAACTTCGAACCTCCAAGCTCGAAAGCTCGAACCCTCAAAACTCCGGATATCTCGCTTCTCTCGGGCAGACACTTGATGCGTTACTTTCAATCATTCCTTTACAGGCCCGTCAAATGCTGCTGCTAAAGCGCCCGCCGGCGCCTCCGGCACAGGCGAGCAAGAGGCTCTCCTTGCAGCGGCAAAGAAAGTCTTTTCCAGAGGGGGGTCTGACGCGCTGACCATACCGGAATCAGGGTTTGAAGAGGAGAGGGGTTCAAAGGCCTGGGGCCGAGGGAGGGGGAAAGGAAAGGCGGGGAACAAAAGCGGGTCCGAAGGCAGCGGGGGGGACTCGGAAAGCGGAGGGAAGGAGGGGGGGCGCGGGAGGGGTCGGGTGAAAGGGAACCGGGGGAGGGGGAGAGGCGCCGCAGGCGAGAAAGGGCAACGGACGCTTACTCAGATTGGGCGCAAGGAGTCGGGGGGACAAGGGGAAGCAGTTCTCGACGAGAGGGGGAAAGAAAAGGCAGGCGAAGAGACTGGGGGCGATGAAGACGTCGTTGAAGTGGATGGCAGCACCTTCCGAGCCCGTCAGGGGACAGGGTCTGGACGGGTTAACTCTGTGGTTAGCGAAACCGCCTTGGATTCGACCGGGGGGACTGCGAAGAATGGAGACCAAGGGGATGGCGAACCGGACCGGAAAGGGAAGCGGAAAGCGGAGCCGGAAGTGGCGCCATCGCTGAGGAAGGGTGCGAAAAGGCGACGGAAAGCGCTGCCGGCGGTGCACTTCTACGCGCTGGAAAGCGAACAGCAGGTGCTCGAGGTGGTAAGGGCTGAGATTGTTGACACGATCTATTCACCACCCTACTTCGACTTTTCTTGATTCCGTTGCCTAAGGGATCGATGACAGTTGGTTTAATGAATACTGCCATCAGATGCCTTCTCCGCCCCACTCTGACAAATGAGAGCCAAGGCGGCCGGCGCATCTTGCTTCCTGTTCCTTGTTTCTGGCGACCATGTCTAGCGATGGGAGAATCCTCATAGGCTCCCGAGACAAGTCGTTATAAAGTTGGCTGCAGAGACTTCTAGAAGGAAAGAGAACCGCCAGCTCCAAAGCCAGCCGTTGCGTGAGCCCCCCACTTCCCAACTTTCTGAAAATCACATCCAAGCAGCAGCATACGTTACAGGAAACTTCATTGCTCACCCCCGACAGGCGCGGCCTTGTTACGTCATCTTGCATGACCATGACATGCCTTTTGTGCGCAAGCTGGATTTGTACCCATCATAAAGCCTCAGAGTAACTCACTTTGGCAGTCTTATAATTCCTAGATCAGACTCTCCTTTCTGCCTCGCAGGTGCGGCCCGCTTAGGTCATCGTGCATGACTCTGACATAGCGTTTTGTGCCCTTTACCATCATAAGTTCTCAAGGTAACTCACCTTGGCAGTCTTACAATTTCTAGATTGGACTCGTCGACTCCCCCACAGGTGCGGCCCGCTTACATCATCGTGCATAACATTGACATGGCGTTTTGAGCACTGTACCTTCATAAACCCTCAGCGAAACAGCTTGGCAGTCTTACAAATCTTATATCGGACTCGTCGAATTCCCCGCAGGTGCCGCCTGCTTACGTCATCGTGCACGACCTTGCCATGGGTTTTTGTGCACTGTACCATCATAAATCCTCAAAGTAAAGTTAGGGGGTGAGGGGTTCGGGCTTAAGGTTCGTATAGAGCCCTTGCATGGGTTAGCTTGGCAGTCTTACACTTCCTGAATCGGACTCATCAATCTGCCCGTAGGTGCGGCCCGCTTATGTCATTGTGCACGACCCCGACATGGCGTTTGTGCGCGAGCTGGAGCTGTACAAGGCGGAGCACCCGGAGCGGTCGCTCAAGGTGTACTTTCTGCTGTACGAGCAGTCGACGGAGGAGCGCAAGTTTGAAAGCTCCATCCAGCGCGAGAACGCCGCATTCGAGGCGCTGATCAAGCAGAAGGCCATTATGACCGTGCCAGTGGACCAGGTGCAACATGTTGTCTGTATGAGAATCTTTTGTTCTTTACCAGAGTAGGTGACTTAAGTCCAGGTATGATATGTTGTTTGTATGAGATTCTTTTGTACTTTAGCAGGGGAGGTGGCTGACTCGCTTCTCACATCCACGCATCTCGTTGAGCAGCTTCTTGCCTCTGGCACGCTGTTCCTTTTCTGGTCGACCATCCGGCCAGACGATTGGAGGACGGATGCAGGGTTTGGGATCGGAGAAACCGAAATTGTGGGAGGGATCACACTGCTCCGGGCCGCGCTTCTGGGCGTCGAAGCACTCCGCCCCACCTGCGTTTACCCTCTTCTCCAATTTTGGATCAACTTACAAGAAAGATCCCGCCTGTAACAGCATTGCATTCCGCTTGGAACATATCCGATTTCTTGCAACAGCATCAGTTTCTGCTAGCACCAACATCCGCTTCGACATTGTAACAACGGCAGTACAAACGTCAGATACCGCTTGTAACAGCATCCGGTTCCGCTTCTTACAGGACGGTCGACTTGCCGGGACGGCTGCCCCCCAGAGTGCGACGGGGGTCACGTTCTCGACGTCAGGCCCAGGCGGCACGGGCATCTCGACGCGCAAAGCGGGGGGACGGCAAAAGGACCGCGCGATGCAGGCGAGTCTTGATTCTCCGTTGAGTCAGGCTCACGTCGACTTGTATCAGATCCCCTGGCCCAAAGAAGCCCAAAGGTGAAGTCTCAAGTCAACATGCGCTACACCCTTGCCAACCGTAAACCAACCCTACCCTTTTTCTGGGCAGTATCCAACTCAACGTAGCCCTGGTTTGTGAACGACGTAGTAAACGCAGATATAAAAAAAATGCTTAGACAGATTTTCGTAAGTAACGTAAAGTCCAACACTTGTGTGATGCAGGTGGTGGTCGACATGCGCGAGTTCAACAGCAGCCTGCCATCCGTGCTGCACCAGCAGGGCATGAAGATCGTGCCCGTCACGCTCGAGGTAAGAACCTAGGCCGCGGATCCTACTCAAACCGCAGTCCGCATCAGTGCGGACGGTGCATTTATGCGCGAAATGAGTTCTAATGTGGTCCTGAGTTATTTCGCTTGGTGCTGTTCAGAGCAGAAGGCTCGTTGTGTTGCCTACCAATTGCGAGCAAAAGGCTCGTTTCGGTTTTTGAGAAAAAATTTGGCGATAATGTGTCTAGTATGAAAGACGGCGGAGAGAGCCTGGCAGGCTTCTGTGAGGCGTACCTGACAGCACATCTCGTGACAGGTTGCTTAAGGTCCGTCTTGATGATGGTGTTATTCGGCTTTCTGTCATCCGCTCTTGGTGGCGACACAGTTTGTCCCGGAAGGCGACAGAGTTTGTCCTGGAAGTGTGCGTGGAGCGCAAAAGCGGAGGCATTTGAGTTGACACCAGGTCTTCCAGCAGTCCGCTTTGAGTGCGCACTTTTTATGATGGTGTCACTAATTTCGAAATTTGTCCTCGTGTTGGCTAGGTGGGCGACTACATTCTGTCCCCCGAGGTGTGTGTGGAGCGCAAGAGTCTGGCGGACCTGTTCCAGTCGTTCGGCTCCGGTCGGCTGTACAACCAGGCGGAGGCCATGACGCGCTACTACAAGACGCCCGTGCTGCTTATCGAGTTTGACCAGGACAAGAGCTTCTCGCTCCAGGTGCGCGCGCTTTTCTTTGCGTACGTTTACACATCGAGGATGTTGAACGAGCCTACAAGAGAACATGTGTCACTGATGCTTGACGACAAAAGACCGGAAGTCTCCCGGCGGGTGCTGAGACTCTCGTGAGGACCATGCCGGTTCATAGAAACTGAGCTTTTGAAAGTCAGCCGCTTCCGCACGTGGCAGATTGGGCCTCTAAACCAGTTACGCCACGTCTCCACGAGCGTTCTTGGAGTCGAGCGTTCTCTGAAGCGGCTCCTTTTTGTTTGCCTACCCACGTTCCATCAAATGTCCAACGTTCGGAGGCCGATGCTCTGCTATTTTTGAGTCCCTTTGTGTAACTCTCCAGAGCTAAGTCAACGACTTGGGCAGTGCATATATGCTCAAAAAAGGCATGAAACTGCCATTGACGCCTCCAGCCCTCGGCATTGTTCTGCTCATAACATGCACCCGACGTGTCTGATACGGGAAATGTTCGACTGGGTATCCCTTGGTGCTGCAATTGCTCACCTGAAGACTCAACGTCTGATCGCGAATAGTCAACTTTGGAATGCTGCGTAAGTGACACGTGGCTTGTCCTTGTGCAGTCTGCGGGCGAGCTGACGGACGACATCTTCGGCACCAACATCATCTCCAAGCTGTCGCTCCTGGTCCTTCACTTTCCGCGGCTGCGCATCATCTGGTCGCGCAGGTACGCCTTGCCTAGTTTCCGCTTCTCCAGTCCCTTGTTCCATGTTGTCAATTCGAGATTTCGCGCTCTCCCGTGACATTCTGTCCCGTTTTTTGCTTTTTGAAGTGCTGCTTCTTTGCTCTCGTCCTGCGCTGTCTGGACCCTTCTCTGCTTGCGTTGCCCCTTGATCTGGAGGGTGTTTCAATGTTTCCAAAAAGCCGGGCTTTCAGAATTGTAGGGCTGAGGCTTATTTACCCAAATGTTCTTTTTTCTCGTTGTGACCAAATCCAAATGACCATCCGAGGCTGCAAAGTCTGCTTCGTCTGCCTCGTATGCGACTTCATGCCTGCTCGTCCCTACATTCTGGGTCTGCGCTCACTTCAGCTGGGATCGAGGATCCAGCACTTGCACGTCCGGAAGCGCGCAAACTCTTCCTCAACGCGTCTTCCAAAGCAATCTATCCCGTCCTTTCTTCCATCTGCAGCGTGCATGCCACGGCGGACATCTTCGCCGCCCTGAAGGCCAATCAGGAGGAGCCAGACGTCAAGAAGGCGATGGTGGTCGGCGTGCCCACCGAGGATGGCGTCATCGAGGGGGACAGGCAGGGGGAGACGTACAACACCACGGCGCAGGAGGTGAGGCGCTCGAGAGAGTTTGCTGTAAACCAAGACGTTGGGTTAGGCTTGGGTTTTGACAAACGACTGAACGACACAGGATTCGTGGGGCTTGTAATGCTAGCACCCGGCACAAGAGGTGAGACGGCCACAAATGTCTGCGGTAAACAAAGGCCTTGGGTTAAGTTTGGGGTTTGACGGTCGACTGAAAGGACACAGGATTAGTGGGGCTTGCGAAGGAAGACGCACACCGCTCAAGATGCGAGGCGCTCAAACCGGTTGACGGCCAAGAGTTGTGGCCCAATCCAACGCAAAAGGCAACTCTTTAGGGTTACCCAGGGTATGGGTATTCTTTTTGTGTTAGTCAACTTTGGATGCACGCAAAGGGAGAGTCTCAGTTCACAGCTTAGGAGGGGAGGCGCCAGAAAGCATGCCAAGCTCTGGGCTTCAGGGTTCTTGAGTGTCGGCGTTTGAATTGAGGTCTGGATTCCCGCATTCTGAGCGCATGCCGGGAAGGACGTACAACCCCGTAGCAAGAAGTTCTACCGATTTGCCCAGCCACACGGTCGGTTACTTTGACTTCCTTCATGAAACTGCGGTTAACAGGGGACCGAAGTGCAGATAAGTGCCTTCGAGATCTTTCAAGCCACTGGTGGGAAAGTGGTTAGAGAACCAACGTCCGGCACGTGAAGATTGACAATGACAAGGACGGCTTTTGAGAACTCTTCTGAAAGGGATTCCTGACATTACGGCTGACGTCTAGTTCCAAGAGTCCCTTTATAGGAGCAACTGAAGAGCTTCCCTCTCACAACTTCACGGAGTTTTGCCCAGGGCTGATCGGAGTACACCTTCCAGCACCAACACAGTTCCTTGAGGCTTCTGACTGCCTTGAGTGCCTTGATTGATTTTGAGGCTTCTGACTGTTCTGTCCGTCGACGCCTTTCAATACTTTCCGCGGATTCCAATCTTGCAGGTATTGCGCCGTCTCCCTGGTGTGACGGACGCCAATTACCGCATGCTGATGGACGGAGTTAAGTGCCTGGCGGATCTCGCGGTGAGTATTGCAGAGCGCGTCGGGAGAAAGTTTACAAACGGCGACCGGCTACCCGAAACTTCACGTTTGCAGTCGCTTGGAAGAGCCAGGTAGTTCCAAAAACGAGCGACATCCGGTCATTATCTGTTATCTGCATGTCGCCGCAAGGCACATGGGGCAGACGCCTTCTTAAGCGACGTTCCCTGGTCGCTCCTGTTCGCTTCCTCTCTCCAGCAGACTAGCTGCTTCTTGAACTGAAGAGATTGCAAGCCTGCGCCTCAGTAGTTTTTGGTTCGATGAGCCAGCTCACTTGGCAGATGGGAGATTTGTTCGTGTCGTTGTATCCCTTGACGACCTTTCTGAAGCGTGATGCACTTCTGAAAGCATATCTTTACGGCTTTCTTATTTTGGACCGACGTCAAGGGCATTGAATCTGCAGGAGACGTCCATAGAGGACTTGAGCAAGTTGATGGACGGGCAGCGCCCTGCCAAGATGCTGCGCGAGTTTCTAGACGCGAAGTGCCCAACCGTGTAGATACGACCGTAAACTTCCAGGCATCAGAGATCAGGGCCCGCACCAACCGTCTCTATATGTGTGGACACACGATCAGGACCTGCAACTTGTGGTCTACCATGTATCAAACCCTATGGTGGAAGGGCAACGGCCGCATGTAGTTTACCTAGCGTCTTGACAAGCATTGCTTCTTCAAACTGAGATGGTCATGCACGTTTGCAGTTCCTTCAAGATCTAGCACGACAAGCATGCATGCCACGAAACTCGGCTTGCTAGCTAACTCAAGTTCATGGTTGTGATGCAGAGTCGGATGCGGTATGTGCATATCAACATGCATATGCACACTGACAGCATTGTATGTGATCAAAATGATGGTCTCTTTTTGAATACGCCGTAGCCAATTATAGGCCACAGGCTTCTAGCTCATGGCATACATGATCAAGGTTGTCCGACCACAATCGTTTTCGTGCATGATGTACGTTTCATATATATGCATTCAATCGGTGTGGCTAATCTGTCGGATTGTAATTCAGAACCAAAGGACAGTCTCCGACAAGCAGGTTACCGTCATTGCACGGCCTCCAATTGCAATCCACCCTTTTGTTTGAAAGAAGCATCTGGGTCGATTGAGTGGGCTGTCAGGATCGAACTGTGATGCAGAGTCCGGACGTCATATAAGCAGGTTTCTATGTGCTTTCTCTAGGTTTACAGCGAGCACCGACCCTGTAGTACCAAAGTTTTCGATGAACTCAAAGCCCAGAAACGACAAGTGTTTGAAGAAATATCTCTCAACTTGCGTCTGGGTCACTGACAACAAAACACAATTTACACCCGCCGGCTTCAGAATCTTTAAGTAGATATAAGCGAACAAAGGGATCGTCACAGCCCCGTTCCGGTATTGAGGGAACGTATACAAGTAGCTGAGCTCCGCTACGTGCGTGCTGATGCTCCGCCCCTCGAGCCATTCTGTCACGGCTGGCCGCCGCTCACAGTCAAATGGCCGTTCCATGACCACGCGTATCGTCCCCAGCGGCTGCGAGAGTTCTACCCGCTCTTTCTCGTCCTTAGCCAGATACGCAATGACCTTCTTCGTTGACGACCTGGCATCCAGGGTATCCGAGACGGTTCTTTGATCGAGCTGCGATCGCAGGATCGTCAGGTGCTTATTCTCAGGGCCCACCTCTTTGAAAGCCAGGTCCTTCTCGCACGACTTCTTATTGCTCAAAAAGTCCGCCAGCATTTGTCGTGCAAAACCGATCCCGTCCCCAAACGCTGTATATTTACTCGCACTGCCAGTTCCCGCCTCTTCCCATCCGATTGTCCTCGTCTTCGACTCCTTCAGCCACTTCCCCTTTCTCGCACTGCCTGCTTGTTCTCCTTGCTGCATTGGCGCCCCTCTCACTTCAAACAACAGCAGCCCCGCACCTCTTCGCACCCCCCTAGGCTCGAACCCCGTTGTCCCCCGCCCCGACGGACTTTGGCCAGAGGTTCCTGGCGCGCTCTGCATCCAAGTGTGGCCAACGCGAGCCTTCTTCGCCGGCCCCGCCAGTTCTTCCCGTGTCCTCCTTTTCGCGCCGCTCCTAGTTGCCTCCCCCTCCGTCAGGTCCACCACACTGGCCCACTCGGAGCCTCTCCCCACCACCGATGCTGCAAAGCCCCCCCGCCCGAACAAGGCGGAACCCCCCCCTCCGGCACCCATCACTTTGTCAGGCAACACCAGTCCCAGCTCTCCGGCCCTCTCCGCAATCGTCTTAACTTTCGGCACTCGCTTGCCCTTCTTCCCTCCGTCCTCATCATGACGACCGGCGCCCAGCTTCACTCCCCGTAGCGCGGCAATCTGTGCAATTGTCAGCTCCTTGGGCTTCCCTTCGCCCGGATAGTTGGGCTCCACCGTGACGCCCAGCTGAGCGGCCGTCTCCGCGATCGTGAGATCGCCCTTTCTGCAGTACCTGCTTTTGCCGGCGGCCCCACCAGAAGTTGCCCCATCACTTGGGTCCAATCGGCCCGTACTCACGGCAGTAGCTGCGCCCCCCCATACGGCGCCTGCCGTTTGCTCCGCACGGGTTTGCCTCTGACCAATACGCCCCCCCTTCCGACCTCTTTCCCCGCCGCTTTGATCTCCAACGGCCTGACTGCGTCTGGGAATGATTGGAACCTCGTCCACATTGACACCAACCAGAGGGATCCAGGGTGCAACGCCCCCAGGCACCACTCCAGTGTCAATGTCCAGTCGCTGGTGAAAGGAGGCATGGCATCCGCAGGCCTCGCACCTCTGGGGATTCTTGGGCTTAGGCGAGAACGCCTGTGAACAGCGGAGCCAAGGGGGAACTGCGTCAACTGCTTGCAACTGACGATTGGACGTTAAATCCAGCATGGTTGAATTGAACCAGACAAGAGCCCCGCATCATGCAACAGCACATGGTGCTTCAGAGCAGCGATTCCTAAGATGCTACTTGCCAAAAGCGCAAAGAAGAATGCAAGTCAGAAGCTAAGACTGAAACGCATTTGGAAGTGACCTGATAGCCCCATGCATTCGATGATGTTTGGCACCAGAATAATGCAGCGTACCTGACACCCATCATAAACAGTGACGCCCCTGCAAGAGAAACAAGCTGTGAAGTCAAGACTTTGCTTACAGAAGTTGTCCAAACAGTTGTTGTGCACAAGCACTCTAGGAGCCCACCAAAGTTCAGCATCAAGGGCAAACTGCATCTTTAAAATATTGAAACAAGGCTGTATGGTAAGCAGCAGCTTTCTTGAACCTACTCAACTAACAGCATCACATTGAACTCATTGGGCTGGTCCAGTGACGGCACACAGTGTTTGGTGCCATTGCCCTATCTGATTGCAGCAAGCAGAATAGCCAATCATCGTTCAGAATGGGCCTCTAGATAAACATTGAGAAACACACCAAAACGAGATAGCCAAAAAAAATGATGCACGGATATTAGACTTACTTGCTGGCGCCTTTGTTGCGCAGACACTTCCCAAGCTGCGCCATTTGTGCCAAAGCCTTGAGATCTCAACTGATCAGAGACAACCAGGGACTTCCACCAGTCTTCTGCATGCAATGAGTGAATGCGAAGGACGAACCCACATAAAAGAGGAAACTAACGATCACACCAGGAAGTGCTGATTGCAGTATGATAAAATGGTGGCCTGCTGTCGAGTTTGCCCTTCCAACTCAAACTCTAAGAGTTGAAGGTTAGGGTCTCTTGTCAGAGCTGCACTTTCAGGGCGCCATTTTGAATCTCCGAGCTGCTTAAAACAGACGAAGCAAAGTTGGCAAAAGCAAACCCTAATTGTAGGTATAGTTTTAAAAATCTGCCGATCAGAGCAAATCAGTTTTGGTTGCACGGCTCAAACGCGGTAACTCCATCGACAGATATAATACAAGCATGAGGAAAGGGGGAGTAATCTTGTCGGCGAAGAACCACCACCCCCCCTCGTAATGCCGATATTAAGGACAGCGCTCGCTCGCTTATGTAAACAACATTGTTCTCTTTTGTCTTCGAAATCCCGGGCAAGTGTACAACTTGGAGGTTGTGAGTCTATCAGAGCTGGTACTGTACATCTGGTCCTTGGCGCAAATCCTGCATGTTCAGCTTGGGAGGCTTTCACAGATGCTCTTCATTCTATCGTGATCAGCATGGGACTGCATTGGTGGCAGACTGCTTAGCACCAGCAGCAAACAGGCTGGCTCTCTGCATTCGCCTTTGGCACATCTGTGGCCTCTGTTGTTTTGTGGACCTGCAGCCGCAGAATTAGACGAGCAAGGTGAGGAGTAATTGTCATCTGACACCATGCTGAGATCTTCGAGCAAGCACTCGGGGTTTACCGCTAAACTCTTCAAGTCCAAGGTAAAAACCCCCGAGGACCTGGTACATGCAACCAGCCATGGTCTGGCGCAGCTGCAAGCAAGGGGGGCCGACCCCAAGGTGAGGCAGCACGCGCCAGCATGGCCAGAAGCGGTGTCTTGTGCAGCCTTGAGAGCACATAAAGGAGCCAGCATTGTGTCTTCTACTTTCATGTGTGCAAAAGCTGAGGGTTTTGCAAATCAAGAGATGTTAGAATTTGAGATCAAGAGTTGATCAACTCAACCTTGAAATTGGAAAGCTGCCCAATCTATCCTCAAACCACGTAAATCATCTGTCGCTTGGATGCGAGCATGTCGAATCCGTTGACCGTTTGCTGATATGGACAAATTCCTGGAAAGGTACCTCCATCTAGATCTCACCAGAAACCGCCTAAGGACTCAACAAGGCCTTTGCCATGCCAATCAAACAACAACTTCATATCCTCTCATTGCGTCAAGCTCGTTCCTTGATCAGGGGCCGTATGATCCGCAGCTGCCTGCCAATCCTCGCATGACATTGAATGCATCTTGGCCCTGCCCCCTGGCACCTCTCCTGCTAATGATTGTCTGAAATGATCATTATAAGCTCAAGTTACAATAAGAACGAAGTCACACTAGAAACCTAAAGTTTATCCGCACCCGCCTACCCTGAACCCCCTTACTAACCACCCGTCCCAATGTTTTCAGTTCAGCTTGTTACGATTGATCTGAAGACCAATTTGGTGCCAGGTGCTGGAGGAGCTGGAGGAACACCTGGAGCGTATGAAGGTGATCCTGTATGGAGAGGGAGAAGCTGAACCCGACGTGGCGGCCAGCGGGGCCCTCACAGTTGCTGCTACCCAGGAGGACTTCCTTCGGCTCCTCCTCAGCAGCTTTCCGCACTTCAGCTTCGAGGTAGACGGTCGTTCCGCGGCCAGCTAGCACAACGGATGCAAGATATTCTTCAGCTTTAAGTTGACAATCCAAAAGCCTGTCTGTTCGATGGTATGGGATTTATGGCATATGCGTGCCCGGATGCAATTTGCCTCTGCTTTGGTAAAAGTTGTGCAATCGCGAACATTCTCAGGCAAGAATCTCAGAATGACAGAGGATGGTTGATGCAAACACTAGAAATGGTCGCCGTGTGTTGCAGGGTCGCAAGGATGTGGGCATGATTGTGACCAACCTGTTACGGCAGCAGGTGGGCCAGAACCGCTTCCTTGTTGCGGAGTATCTGGAGGGAAACCGCGACCTCATCGACCTGGTCATTGTTGGGTAAGCACGCCCTCCTCAATCAATTGCCCTTCCCCGTCCTGCCCCTCTACTCGATGCAACACCAGTTGCTGGGCTCTGTAACATTCACTGATGTTGATGTGCTATTCCGCTGTGCTCAATACTACTAGCCTGCAGGTGTTCTTCGTCGACCATTGACGTTGCCCTCACTTGGGGCTCAATCATACGTGAGATTGCGCGCCACCAAAGCCTGGCTCGGTGAGCGCACGCGTGCCTGCCCCTATGCACCTGCCCCCCTTTTTGCCTCTGTTAGCCTCGTTTGCTGTTGCCTGGCTCCTAGATGCTTTCCTGCGCTCCCCGGCAAGTTCTACGAATGAGGTGTCCAAGTCTACTGAACAAGAGAATGTATGAATGACGATTCGCTATTGTCACAGATTTAAAAAGTTCCACGCTGTGCCCCGATCTTTATTCCGTGCTCTGCCAACTGAGCCCGTGTACTACTTGTGGCAGATACATCCTGGCTTCCCCGGCTTTTTTCCAGCTCTTCACGTACATCGAGCTGCCTGCCTTTGAAATCGCCTCCGATGCCTTTGCCACCCTCAAGGTAAGCGCACTCTGCAGAGACGGATGCCCCCATCCGATCGGATTCCTTCAGTCTCACAGCTTCGAAAGACGTCAATGCTGTGCAAAACTGTTGATATTCCACAACACGAAACCATAAGCCTGGCATGTCATGGCGAACAATTCATCAGCTCCTTTGCCCTCCCGTCCAGCCGGTTCTTAGGTTGCGTCGACCGACACGTGGTTTTGAGACTTCTGCCCGTACTGCTGCTATGCTGCCAGAACACCGTGGGAAGAACCTGGAAGCAAGAATCCCCTCTTTTGCTCCCATTGCCTGCTGGTCTCTGAAGAGATTTCTGCTTGGACCGATTGTGATTGTGATTGTGATTGCTGTGCGGTTGCAGGAGCTCCTCACGCGGCACAGGTCACTGGTGGTCGACTTTCTCGCTGCCAATTACGCTGTGGCAAGTCCCCCCATCTTACCTTTGCACCCTTCCCGTAGCTCCTCTTGAACAGATCAAAGCGCCACGAGTCAAAAGCATTCGGACTGCATTGCTTGATCCTCTGTAAGTCTCCTTGTTGGTTGTTTTGAGCGGCTTGGAAGGCGCTGCACTGCGCCCTTGCGGCAGCCTGCGGTCCTCACTGGCGGCGGCCCTGCTGTGCGCCCCGCAGTTCTGGGAGCACTACGACAGCCTCCTGGCCTCTCCCAACTACCTCACGCGCCGCCAATCCGTCAAGGTCAGCATGCACACCTCCGCATTTCTTGGCAGCACTGGTTCGGCGAGGCAAGTCAGGAGCAGCTGTCTACTGCGGAAGTCCTCACTAAATCGTCACTTCCTGGAAACAATCACCTTGTGGCGAGTCGGATCGCTGGGGCCCCGTTCCAAGTCTGCAGGGCTTACACCCCAACGCCCGTCGTACATTTTGTCGTTGTAAAGATCGTCGAGTCCTTCTACGGTTTTTCGAAAACGCGGTGGTGTGTACGAGTCCCTTGAGAACGAAAGCTCTGATGCGCATCAAAAGATTGCGAGGGGTGCCCTCGCAAGGTCGGCATATGCAGGTTTTCGTTGTCACGTGGCTGTCGCGCACAAGTCGTCGTCAGGCCTCGTCTTTGCTCATCTCTCTCGGCTTTGGGTGCAGCTGCTGGGCGAGCTGCTGGCCGACAAGGCCCTCATGCCAGTACTGCAGCCCTACTTGGACGACCCCGCCAACCTCAAGCTTGTCATGACCCTACTCAAGGTCAGGCTATTCAGATTCCACCCCATGCACGTGCCGTGTACTCTACGAGACTCCTGATGTTCATCGATTGAATTGGATAGGTGATAAGCTGTCTGCTTACAGACAAGGTGACGAGGCCGCCAATTCCCAACTGCATGCTAGTATCGAATCTCAGTTTCATCGTTGTGTTAATGTTGTTTGTCAGTATCATTTCATTGATCCAGATTTGACATAAGAGCGGGCGTATTGACTTTTTCTTCACTTCGTTGACCTTCGTGTGATGCTCGTTTCCGGGAGGATTTGATCAACAAAGTGCGAGGTCTTCAAGGATTGCGCAATGGCTGTTAAAAGCTACCGAGTTTTCTTGGCAGTTGCCGTACCAACGTTTTGAAGATGCACAAGGTTCAAACATGATGATGACGGCGCCTGTCTTGAAACGCTAAAATGTCGTATGTATGCAGGACCCCAACAAGTCCATTCAGCTGGAAGCTTTCCAGGTCTTTAAGGTGAGCCACTGCTCCTCGTCTCGCCCCGTCTGAGCCTTACTCGCATGGCACGAGATCTGCGATTGCTGCTCTTTCTACGGTGCCGCCCCTGTCCTTGGAGGTTCCACCTTGCAGAGGACAACTTTGACAAGCGCAACAGTGAAAGACCCGCTTTTTAACCTCCCTGCGTCCTTGGTGTATCCAGTATCCCGTTAAGGGTCCCTGTAGGATTCACGAAAGCGTTTGAAAGTTGCAGCTGATGCCAACACCGAGTTGAGCTGATGGCCGAGTCGTTAGTGCAGGTGTTCGTGGCCAACCCGGAAAAGGCGGCGGCTATCATGGACATCTTGGCATCCAACCAAGCGAAGCTGCTAAAGTTCCTCGAAACCCTCAAGCCTGACAAAGGTGAGGTCCCCACTGCAAGTTCGGCGATAGCAAGCCCTTATGCAGGGGTTTCAATGGTCAGCCCTACTACGAAAGTAAGTCGTTGGCTCCAACGCTGGTGGCTGTAGCATCTGAAAAAAGCGTCTGACCCTGTGCAGATGATCAGCAATTGACGGAGGACAAGAATCAGGTACGAAAAGAGATCGAAGCGCTGCAGCCACGCACATCTCGAAGAGGGTCCCAAGAGAGTCTGGGTGGCAGCCGACGAGAGTCGATGGGTGACATGGCCCCGGGCAGCAGTAGGCGAGGCAGCTCAGAACAGGTAGTCTCAGAGGAGCAGCACGAAAGGCTAGCCTCAGAGCTGGATAGGGTACAGGTAAGAGAGGGATAGATTCTTGGAATATCCTGTTGCGCTGTAATAGCATGTACATGTTGTGATGCCATGCATGTACGTGCGTACCATGTTGTACCATCACCGACACTCCTCTCCCCCGGATCTAACGCGACTCCAAAATGTAATTTACGTGCGGCTAGAATCGTACAAAGGCCACCATACAATCTCAATACGATATCAAGGCTTTTGCTTCGCATGTATTGTGGCCCAATGATGTGGAAACCAAATTGCAGAGCCACATGGAAAATATGGATGCAATTCAGTATGGAGTCAACATGTGGCTCAAGACAAAATCACAATGCCTATGCATGCGGCGTTAACAAATGTCTCTATGTCTATTTAACTGCCGACTATTGACCCTTGTTCGACTGCTTATACATGTAATAGTTTATGCCCATGCTGCATTGCTATGTCGCCCTCTGCACAGGCTCCGCACCCATGACCGGCTCGGGACCGGCCCATGGAAGAGGAATGAACATGCAAGTGACTCACGCGTGCATATGTACCACCTCTACTTATAGGCGACCTGTCAGTGTCATGAACGGACCCAATATCCGCGTAATTGGCGAGAGCGACTCGAAAGAAACTGGATCGAATCAGCGGAAGCTTGCATGAGCTAAGAGAGCGATCCGTCGTACGAGTTCCGTTGACGGCTGGACGGAACAGCGGAAATTGAGAGAAAGGGCGAATTTTGCAAAACGATCAACCTGTTCTTCTTTGGCAAATTACCTCTGCTGGGGAGCAGAGAAGGTCAGCCAACCAGCAAAGCCGTCAAAATGCTGCCCCGCTCAATGCTGCTAACGGCAGCTCTGCTTTTGTTTCTCTACTTTTCGCCACTTCTCCGAAGCGGGGTCACATGGATCACTTGGCAACTGGCAGCTGCAATTGGGGTGCGTTAGCCGCAATGCTTACAACATCAGAGAAGCAGCGCTTGTATGGTCTGCTTGGCAGAGCCGTAAGTCTGGACGGGCCAGAAAGTTGAAAGACAATCAGCGGACTTGCACATGTTGGTCATTAGAGCAGTTGAGTTGATGACCGCCACCTTGTGCTCAACCTACTTTTCCTGCTCCCAAACCTTGTTTCACCACCTTGTTGCAGGCGCTTTCTATCTTGACGTATGCGCTACCATACCTGGTCGTCAGTATCTTGCCACCTCAGAATCTCAAGAAGAAATATGATGCGGATTGGGCGTTTGTCACCGGAAGCTCTTCGGGCATCGGCCGGTAAGAGATTATAGACTTTCTCATATCAGTGTGCCTTTGTTGCGAGGATTGTGGAGCTTACCAAGTTAAGTGTATGTTGCAGAGGACTGATGAAGGCATTTGATTGAGTGGTGGTACAGGGGTTTTGGAGCTCCAGGTCTGGGTCCTGAGACAGTGGGCCAAGTGAAAGTAAGAAGTTGGTCAACTCTGATTCAATGAAAAGTCAAGTTGGCGACCTTCTTAAGCCAGGGTTGGCCTTGAGCATTTCAAGCACACAACAGCATGTTCAGTGGCCAGGTTGTGCTGAATAGGAGAGGGACAGATAAGTACACTTGGGTGAAGATCTTGTTTGCTTCACTCAAAGCCTGGATAAAGCAAATCATTCCAATGCAGTGGCTTCCCCTCCGGTTGCTGATCCTTGAACGCTCTTGAACAGGGCACTGGCGGAAAGGCTAGCGCTGCAAGGCGTAAACATCGTGCTGGTGGCACTGGACGATCAGCTGCTTAAAGACACCCACGCTGCTCTCACCAACCAGTTCCCACAGCTCAAGGTGACTGAACTATCTGAATTTTCAGGTGCATAACCCCAAGCTTCGATAAGGTCCCTTGCAGTCAACTTGAGTGGAAGACTAAAAAGTGCATCAGCATCAATCGGTCAGCTCTATATCTGTTCTTGTGCTGGAGATATGTGTTGCCTGATGAATTACCAGTACCTGTTCTTGACAATGCAAGTCTCTGCTTTTGATTAAGGCCCTGTACTATCCTGCAGTTCCGAGCGGTTGGCGCTGACCTCAGCGTCTCTGATGGAAGTTACATGACGGCCATTGCTCAAGGTACTCCTCAGTGCTCGTTTCGTTTGGAACAAGGCCTTTCCGGCAAACCTCGACCCTGAAGTCGGAATTGTGTTGTCGATCCCTTGCGCAAAGCCCCTTTGAAGGACTCTAAAGATTCGTCATCAGAAGTCGTCTGTTGAGACCACGTTATTTCCCTGATAGACATGAGTACAGTTGAACAAACCGTGTCGATAATCTTCTTGGCACATACTCGAGGGAAGTGGTATTGCGACCCAGAGTCTTTCGCAAGGAGACTTGAGGCGGAAACTTTTGCGTGTCCATTTTTAAGACGACTAAAGAAACATTGTTTTGGTTCTCCTTTGGCAGCCGTGTTCTTCGAAGCCTGGCTGTCTATTAGCGAAACAGATCAAACTTCATATTTCCTGGTGCTACCCGCTGCCGACTAAGAACAGCATTCCTTCTCATTACAGCCACCAAAGACATCCACGTGTCCCTGGTCTTCAACAACGCTGGCTACATGGTCACGGGCTTCTTCCGTCAGGTCAGAGAAACCTTATTCTTTTCTGTGCTAGAGCACTAAGTTCGGGTTTGTCGCGCGTGATTCCAGACCTTTTGATCGATTGATAAACTTGAAGGATCTGTACGACTGTCGTAAAGTCAAGTTTATATCTAAAAAACTCCTACATTTTGCTCGTTTTTGCCTCAAGACGACCCACCAAGCGCTTCAGCCCTGTGCTCGTACAGACCACCTCGCGTTGAATCTTTTTGAGTCCTTCGACCTTCGCTTGAGAAAGGCTCGTTATAACAGATCCGTTCTCACGAGCGCCCCACCAACCAGGAATCGACTCTGTTCCTCCTCTTCCTGCTTGGTTACTGGGTCTTGGTCTCTTCTAAATTTCAAGCGCGAGATTCCCGAACTGTTCTTCAAAGACTATACTTCGAAAGGTGGAGTGGATTGTGCATCTGAAATGCAAATTTCCGAGACCGTCCTTTTGCAGGTCCCGCTGAACAAGCACCTCGCCAACATCGAGTGCAACACAGTCTCTGCCGTGCGCATAACACACCACTTCTTCCAACGCATGGTCGACTCGAAGGTGAGGCAGCAAAGGATGCACCAGAACTATCAATATTCCGATAACTTGTTCAATTCCGTACAACAACCGTACTCGGATCCTCCGTTCTTGCTCTCTCTTCCAGGTCTTCCGTCGCCCCTTCGCAATTGCGTCCCTTCAGAGTCGGGTGTGCAAGCGAACGAGTGGGGACTGCCTGCAGCTCTACCAATGTCCTTGCCACGAGCGGATGCAATCGATTGACGTCCAAAGCTCAGTTGTCCTCGTTACGTAGCCAGCAATGACGGTTCCTCTCTAGGACTGTGCAGGAACAAGGGGTACGACTGCTTCTCAAATGAAGCTCTTTTGCCGCATACTTTCAGACATCATTTCTGCATGACGGCTGGGGAAGAAGAAGTGAACTCTACTTGACAAGTTCAGCGGCGAATTACGGCTTCAGCCGCTTGTAGATTTGCTGACTCAAGCCGGACGATAAATCCTTGTACTCTCGGGCTGCAGCGGAAAGGTGCGATCGTGTTCACCTCTTCGGTAGCGGGATACATCCCGTCCCCATTCGCAACCGGGTATGGCGCCACGAAGGTAGGCTGTCGGCCCTTGCTCATGAGATGCGCCCATGTAAATGGGCGCTCGCATATTGTCGATTTGAAGCAGCCTCCGTACATGTTATTGTCGAACCGTGGAAAGTCGAAGTTAGGCGGTGTCGTCAGAAGAGTGAAGGCCTTGTCTAGATCTTGCCGGAGATGTCCTGAGAAGAAGAACTTGCCGTTGTTGTACGAGACTTGATTGCACTCAAAAACTTTGACCGCTTTCACCACCAGAAAATTGATCGGAAGCAGCCAGCGGCAATTCTGACAAATTCAATTGATCGTGCCTGCGAAGTCACAGACCGCAAAGGACAAACGCCTATTTCTTCCACATATTGTCAACCTGATCCTAGGCCGTAGACGAAAAAAAGAAAAATGATTGTTCCATTCCTTCCGTTCTTCAGATATTGTGGGCCAGACTGATTTTGTGCCGCCTTCATTTCGACCAAGTCGAAGAGATACTCTTTCCGCAGTGCCCGACGGTTATAGAGGATGCTTTGGCCAATTACCTGACGTGTTTATTCTGACTTGAAACCATCTTGATACCCTTTTCTCATAGCCGAGAATTGACCCTAACCCTTCGTTTGCAGGCGTTCCTTTCGTCCTTTGCCGCATCCCTCGCGGTCGAGGCCCGGCATTACGGGGTGGACATCTGCGCGGTGCACCCGTCCCCAGTCAACAGCCGTTTCCTCGACAAAGCGGACAAGCTAGACAGGTGCGCCCTCACTTTCTGTTCTCGCTCCTACGTTGAGTTTTCACGTGAAGGAAGTGCCGTGTTGCAGCCGCAGGGTTGAAAAAGGTTGTTGCGGCAGATCCGGAGAATAAAGGCCGAAGCACGGAGGATGATAGCGGAGGATGATAGCACAAGCCTAAGGCAGCACCATATGACTTTTCCACCTGTCAATCTTTGACCAAAGTCTTTGGCCGGGCTTAGTCACGCACCTGTCTCATAAGCAGAGATGCTTCCTGTGACCACCGTTTCCTCGTCCGCTGATCATCTTCCATTGTGCCGAGATGCCCGTTTTGAATCCCTTTTGGAATACTATTTGCAGCCTAGAGTTTACGTCCCAATTCGCGTACCGTCCGGAGGACCTCCCGGACGACATCTTCCGGACAGTCGGACGGGCCGTCTGGCGGGACCTCGGCGGGTTTGCGCTCGTCGCCCGGGGGGTGACTAAACTGGTGAGCGAGCGGACGTTATGAAGCCCTTGAAACGGCGATTGGTCTTTCCGAAAGGTGCAGGCGCGTGTCGGCGTAGGAACTTTAGAATAGTGGTTTTACCTGTTCTTAGCCTTTCTTGAAGAGACTGCCTGATGTAGCGGTTTGCTGACCGACCGTCCGGGTGAGGCGTTAAAGGAAGGAGCCTTCAGATACTGGCGGCAAAAGAGTTTCATGAAACGCCTTGACATGAGACGTTCTGCTTTTACATATAAAGTCCTGTTCCGGATTCAATATCAGAGGTGCGTTGCGAAAAGCGGGTCCAAAAACTTGTCAATTCCATATCACAGCCTTGCTGTCCTTCTGCGGCACCTTCGATTTAAGCATGCATTTGCATTACTTCAGGTACGTCTGCTATCTGCAAAGGCATCAACTCTGAGCTCTTTTGTTCCGAACCTAATTTGGCGCCCGAGCATTGATTGACCGCTTGTTTCCATCCGCTGGGTTGACATCAACTTGAAGAGCGGTCTTTAATACAAGCGTCATTATTATGCTTCCTGGTTTTAAAACTCATCTCTGACCTTGTTCTTAGGGACGCTTCACTGACACGTACTTCATCTTTGCTTTTTGATTCCAGATTGACTACAACGCTCTTGCAACCATTTTCTCTTTGACTGCCCACAACATGAAGGATTGGAAGATGGCAACTCAGCGAAGTGGCCCGAAAAGTTGACCAGAGGTCATCGCAACTTGCTTGCGTTTGGAGTCACCATAGGCATTAGATTTCGAGTTGACTGTAGGCAGCCTGGACAGCGCTGGGCCGAAGTCTCTGTTGTTGTCTAAGGGATGTACTAGTAGGACAGAGTTTTGCTTTTTAAGACTGAGAGCTCGACCCGGCGTCAAACGTGTTGCATTGAGAGTAATTTCAAGTCGAACTGCCGTAGTGTCCATACAAGCCTTGTTCGGAAATTGACATGGACTGAAGGCGTTGCAATTGATGTGGACTGCACTAAAATTTGCTGCATAATTGATTCAGAGTTCAGCCAGATCTAATTGCTGTTCTTGCCGCCATGCGATCATGCTAACGTCGAGCAAGGAAGTACTTGAGCCTAGCCGCTGCAACCCGTGAGTAATCGTCGCGGCCATATATGAATTCGGTTCAACGGTTACCTTTGTGATACGAAGAAGCCGGTAATCGAACTTAATGATTTACATGAGCGATCTGGGATGGTCTGAGTCTAGAACGAATCGGACAGTAGTGTTGCGCATCACGATCATAGCCTGTATACCCCAGTCATGCACGACTTGCAAGCCTGATGATTACTATAAACACAAAAAACGCTCCGTTCGCGCAAGCCGGCCCTCCATGTTGGCTCCAAGCAAGTCACATTCACGAGAGCAATCTGGCCCTTGCGCCAGATCCTTCCCTCATCGCAGCTGCTTTTAGGTTACATCTGACACGGTTGTCCTGATCTGTTGCACGGGAGCGTTCAAGATGGACACTTATCATGTGGGTGAGTTGGCTGGTCGACAGCGGAGTCGATTCAGGCTCTGCTTTTCCAAAGTTTCTAGTGCCAAATTCCGGCTCCAGACGGAACGTTTGGAGATGCTTTGATGGCGGACGCAAGTGGGTCTTTGATGTACTTGGACGGGAAAAGAAATTTACCGATGACAACCTGCAATCAGCGAGAGGCTCGAATTGAGTCACATGAGAGTGAGCCTTTCAATACGAATTGCTTCACAGAAGGTCGGATGTCCAGTCAATTTCAGAGTCCACAGATATTGATCTTTATATTCAGGTGTTGCTTCGATCGAAGGAAAGTTCAAAGTTCATGTGCTGAGCACAAGATGTTCCGTGGACAGCGAAGTAACTCTTCATGTGCACTTCACGTTTTTGAGTTGCTGAGACTTGTTACTTCTAACAAGTTTCTGGTGGCTTTGCCGGGTCGATCTGGTCTCAGGTACTCCAATACTCGAGCCCACCACTTACTATAAGATTGCGACAAGAAACAAAAGTAACGCGCAAATGAAAACGAAAACAGAGCACACCAGTAATCTTCCACAACAATGGAGAAGATTGTCTTATCTTCTCGTTGGGGGTTTCAAAGTCGATTAGAGCGGCCTCAGAGACATAGCGTAGTGACGTACCCCGGGCAGCATCGGCTTGACGATCTGGATCATCCAATCTTGATTGGTGCTCACGATGGCCGCCACCTGGCCCTTCATGTCCTTCTTGACGCCTTTCAACCCAGGGTGCTCCTCCAGAAATGTTGGTTCAAAGATGAGCCACGTGTTCCGTGGAAGGTTACTCCTGCAAGTGCAACAGTGTCAATAACCAGGAAACGTACTACCATGAAAGCTTTTAGCAAACAGAGACCGCCGAGTGACGCGGAAGTGACAGTTGCAACTGGAGTCGACATAGTTCAGGCCCTGCGGGACCTGCCTGGCCTGGTTAGACATGAAAAATACCAGACGGGCTGTTGCTTGTAGATACCCAAACGATGCGTTAAGTACTGTCAGAGCCCATGAAGGAAAACGGGGGCTCAGATTGAGCGTTCTGGACCCCCTACAATCTAGATCCCTGCTTGACGTCCGGCCGCTGGCACCTCTGCTGCACAATTGTCACTAACATGGTCCGTTGAAACCCATGATACCCTTTCATGAGTTCGATTGGAAATCAGCGGACATCAATTGCTGTACGCTCAAAGGATCCTAGACTTTAGGGGGTTTTCCCAAGCTTGATTTGAGTCTCCGTTCTCCTTCCACGGATTTTGTCACATCTCCAGTACTTGCTCCAATGCAGATGCTCTCAGGTATCCGTCCAACAGGTTACGGGTGGGCCTTCAACATTCACGTGGCCTGGATACCCCAAGGTTGTGATGACAGTATTGTTGAAACTTGACAAAGAGACTCTGGGTGGGCTTACCTTTCTGCCCTTTCAACCGCGTCCCTCAGCACCGTCTCTAGCTGTGGCCCATGTAATCTGTGGAACATAAGATGTTCAGTCCGTGAGTTGTGTGGGCAAAGCCCTCTTGAGCTGAGTGAATTTGGGGCAAAAGGGCCTTTGGAGCCTCATGATCAATGAGTATTGCTACAGTACTTTGGCACCGCAAGCCTCCTGAAAGAACACACCTATGGGCTGCATTTGCTGCGTTGTTTCGAGAATAGTTCGATGTCCACTTACAGCATCTTGTTTGCTTCCGTCACTGCAAACCAGTACTCCTGTACAACAAGGAAGTCGCTCAGCCAGTCCGTAAGTGTCCGAAGAAAACTCTATGTCCCCCTCTACCTTGATACAACGCAAAGAGTTTTTGTGGATAAGTAGATACGCCAGTGACAGGGGACTTGAATGGGGGAAGCAAAAAGGAAGAAGAGGCCAGCAGTGCAGAGCAAAGGAAACTTCGAGAGACTGAGGAGCGGAAGTCTTTTCACCTTTGGCACTTCAGGCTTCAACTCCCAGGCTGGTGGCTCAACATTGGAGTCGCTAGAGGACGCTCGTATTCTCACATTTAAGTTCCTTCTACCTACTCCTGATGCCAATTGCATTGGGAACTGCTCACTGGAACCTAATCCTGGCACACGCATCTTCCGCATCCTCAGATGCTTCCCTGATCCTTGTGATGCGCCTAGAAAGTCTCTGACACATGCTGCACCATTCTGACAGCGTTGACTTGGGACGGAGGTATCGTCTATCATTTGCGGCCGCGCACATTGCCCTGGCATTGCGTCCAGGGTGCCGGACCTCAGTGCCCTTGCCGCAGACATGTTGAATTATCAGCGGCCTGAGATCTGAGCCTTGAGGGGACTTTGCCCCACGCTTTGAGGAACCTTGACGGGCCTTCCCAACTTTCGCCTCGTGATGCTGAACAGCTTTGATTTTCATTGCGTGAGCCTGAGCCTAAGCCTGAGGCTGAGCAGCAGACAGGATTCAAGAGCAGCAGCGTGACACGTCAGCTGAAGAGGACTGCCAACTCATGAAGTTTGACAAAGTAAACCAATCAAGGTTGAAGAATGTAGACTAGCTTGCAGCGGTTGAAGCAGCAAGTTTTGATCCTGCCAAACTCAGCATCCTAGTTGCCAGCGTGCAATCAGCTTCTCAGCCACCAAAGCAATGCCAGAAGGAGAAAGCCAACAAAAAGCGAAGCTCAAGGTTGAATTCATCTGCAACTATTGTAGCGGTGCAGCACACCCTTGAGTATAATTCGCAGGGTAGACGGGGACAGAAGCGCACAGGACCGCTGGTGCTGGAGGCGCCGTCCGGCAAGGGGGTCCACCCAGTGCAGGAGCCACAGGTGAGCTGCACATCGTCTGTCAGCACTCACCAGTTGATGTTGGAAGAACGATCATGGAGGAGAAATGATTGGTGCTGACAAAGATTTGGCTCCTGTGCGCCACCAGTGATCTGCGGATTCACTAAGTCCCGCCATGCAGGTCAGTCTTGAATGCCTTAGTTCCATGAGGGGACTAGAATTGCCAATTGAGGGACATGTTTTCTCTAACTTTGGATGGCCAGTGCTTCTATCACCCTTCCAAGGCTCATACAGAGTCATGATGCATTCCGCATAAGAGGACGAGTAATCTTTGGGGGAGCTTTGGGGACCTTGTGGCTTTTCATTAATTGAGGCCAAGCAGGAGCAGACTGTCCAAAACTGGGACAACTCTTCTGGACAAGTCCTCAAGAGAACATGACATGAGCATCATTTCCAGAAGTGCCTGCTTCTGGAGGATTCGAGTAACTTTTGTCATCCTGTCTCTTACTGATCGCTTGCAATCCAAGCCTTCCCAAATTCCTTTTGCCAAAGCACATCATCACATAAAGTATGAGCCTGTATGCGCGGATGCTCTGCTAAGTACAACATCAAGGATTGCGGAGTTGTCTTGCTGGTGTCACACAGATCACTTGGGACTCTATGATTCATTGAGGAAAGATACCTCAACTCTGGAATCCAAGCCACCAGACAGTTACTGATCAAGATCCGAAAGCTTGCAATTGACATATGCCTTGATCCATATTAATATTGCACTGTTTTGCAACAGGTGCATGCGCACGTCGTTCAGCGCTGCTGAGCAATCTTCTGAAGACGGCCAGATCGACTTGCTGTTGGCTCACAAAAAAGCCAGCTAACTTCTTAGAAATCAATGGAAGCACCTTGAGCAACGCCAGTATATTAGCTGCAGGTACATGACTATACTCGGCTCTTGATCCGTCCAATCGTCCACAAACCTGAAATCGATGGTGAAAGCTCATGCTCAAAGTGGCCTGGAGAGATAGAAATCGTTGCCTGCTCTTTCCATCAAAGAACAGCGTTGACAGAGTCGAGGTTGATGACTTGTAGAACCTTTGAATCTGCTCTGCCTAGAGGGGCCTTATCAACTCAAGTGACATTGTTCGGATGGCTAGATTCATTCAACATAGGCCTTGCCTTTTTCCCTTGGTTTGAGTCGCTTCTCAGACGCCTCCACACTTGCTACAGCAGTCAAGGTTTATCAGCTTGCATCCTGGCTTGACGCTCCTCTTTCAGCTAGAGCGTTTGGGGAGATATAATGAGCACGCTTGTTCCAAATTTTGCTAGGAGATTCCTCAAAAGCTGGCTCAGAATTGCATCCTTACAAAGGCGATTGTCTTCAGAGAGACGCCTAATCACTAGTGGCATGTCCCTCAGACTGCTTCTTGATTGTTATTCTTGTGAAATTGACAAACACGTCTCCCTGTTCTTTTAGGCCCTGGATCGTCGGTGACCCCGTCCTGCTCTGCCGCCCTCCCTGCACTGAAGATGAACACCAAGCCTGAGACTGTGAACTAGCAGCCGAACACGGCGCTGCCAGCTGTGTGTACTTCACAAAGTCATTGGCACATGGAGAAGGATTGGGAAGAAGAGCAGGAGCCTGCCGCCGACACAGGCAGGTGCAATGGAGACATCAGCGAAAGTCCTTCAGCCAGCGATGTCGACAGCGGGTCTGCAGTATATGCACTTGTTGCTGAGTCTGAGAGGCTCTGGAGGCTAGCTCGTAGGCCCCCGACAAGAAGCCACTTCCAAGGATTCCGCAACCAGTCAGAAGAGACTCAGACCGGCAGAGTTGAGGGAAAGCTTGGATCAGAGGCTGGGCTCCAGGAGCAGCTTTCGGCAGACGGCCTGAGGACTCTTGATTCTGGGGAGGATGTTGCGGCGAATGAGAAGGAGGGCCCAGGCGTTAAGAGACGGGAGTCGGTGGAGCGGATGAAGCAAGACGGCGGATGGTTTGTGGAGGGGAGCGACGGTCCTGAAGGGTGCTGGATCAACAAAGAACTGATGAGCGGGCGTCCCAGTGGCAGCGGCAACTATGATGCACCGGTGCCACCGTTGCCGTATTGGGGGAGCGAGCAGCACGTAAATAACTTAGTGGCAGCCACATACAAGTTCCTGAGACCTTCATCGAGGTGCGCCTTTTCGCTGCCTTTCAGGCCCCGCAGGATGCCTCCCTATGCGTGCGAAGTGACGCCGTTGCTTTGCTCTCGGATTCCTTTGCACCAAATCTCATCCCAAGTTTGTACCCAGCCCTCATTCAACCACCTGGCCGCCGAGCTTTAGAAGGTCGTAGCAGTGGCGTGAAAGTCCAACAAAAAAACGTGCATCGCGAGACACGACGAAAAGGCAAAGCCTCGTTCTGGAAAAGAGGAAGTCTTTGATGACTCATAAACAGCGGGTTCTGTGCTTGACCGGGTGCTTTTCTGGCATTCTTTTCAACACTCGTCGTTCTGTTCAGCGGCCCCATCATTAAACTGCAACGTAGAAGCTCGAAGTCGCTTGCTGTACGAAGATCGAAACAACCGTCTATCTTCAGAAAAAGACAGGCCTCCTGGCTTTCGTTGGCAAAGGAGACGAAATCGTAAGTTACGTCCTTTGAGAAACGCCCGCATAAAAAACCTTTGGATGTTGTAATTTGGAACTCGTGTTACTGTCAACCTGTCCGGATCGTGGCTGACGATCGTAAAGTTCACCTGCTGCAGGACCCACAGCTGTTTGACCGAGTGATCTCAAAGTTGAGCACGCTCAGTTTCAGGAACGGTTGCGACCAGTAAGTTTTGGGAACACAATGTCTCCTCTTACTAAATCTGAGGGATCATGATGGCATTAATATAACCTGATTGAATGACTGCTTTGCCGATCAGCAGACAGCAAAGGGTTTACATGGCTAGATTTTGAGCATATGCGCAACTTGATCCCCGGGACTGTGAACGAAGTGGTCTGTCCCTAAAATTCCACTTATTGGCTTGCTTACTCTAGCTTCTTTCACTAAGACGTATTCTGACTCTGACTCGCGACTGTTTCATGGCTGCAAAATTAGTTGCCTCTTCCGGTCTGAAAAAAGCTCCCCTGATTGGGCCTACGGACCTTTAAGAACCAAGATACGAATCTTCTCTTTCTCGTGCACCTTTTGACACTTGCAATAGCGGCTGTCCAGACCGTGTCCTGTCAAATGAAGGAGGCAGTCTGTCAGTCGTACACGCGTCCACTTCTCCACCCCTCCGTGTCCCCCGCAGGCTGCCGTTACGGACTCCATTGGAAGAGCGGATGGCTCTGTCAGACGCCAAGGACGCGTGGAACGGGGTGTTGCAGAATGTTGGGCACATGGTCGCTCTGGGCTGCCCCTCCGCCTTCAAGGCCCTCTTCCAAGAGTTAACGGACACTTGGCCGGCGCTCGGCGTCTCCACGAGCTGGACGGCCGTAATGCCGGAGGCAGCCATCGACATGTACCAACAAGGGGACTTCATGTTCGAGTACGAATACAGTAAGGACGGGGTCGAGTTCGTTGCTGACACAGTCTACGATGTGGTCAAGCGGTGCTGTGAGTTGTGGTAAGCCTAGCGCCGCGGAGAGCTGCTGTTGATCTCGCTGGAGTCTGCTTTTCTTTGGAAGACTTTCGCTCCTGGATTTTGTACTTCGCTCGCTGAAGACGTCAAATACTGGTTTTCTCCTTTACGTCCGGTTGGAGGTGTCTCTTTGTTGCAGGATGCTTTCGATCCTGCTCTTCGTTCAAGTGGTTGGTTTCGACTTGTACATTCTTTCCTCGTCTGGAAATACTTTATATGCATCGAACAATCCTTTCACATCCTATCAGATCACTCTTCACGAATCAGGGGTTCACCAAGTCGACTGTCTTGTCCATAACGGCAAAACTCTGTAGAGGATCTCGGCAGATCGCAAGGTCTACTGTCAGGACCACACAAGACCGCTTTCTCCCAGCGTCACAAGCAATCTGGACATCAAAGGCACCTTTTCTCTGATTGAATTGACAGGACATTGAATCTCGGACGGCAATCGCTTACTTCATTTTTCTCGTTGAATAGGCGTCTTTCTCAACGTGGAGAACTTCGTATTTGATACGGGCTAAAACACGGAGCGCTTAGGAAGGCTGTTCGTCTGTTGCAGTGAACTCATGCCGTGTCACGAGGGCCTGCGGCTCATCAAACTTGGACAGCTCAGGCAAGACGACTATCTTCTCCGCCAATTCGGCCCCGAGTTGGCAGTTCTGATTACGGACATTCAGCCCCGGATCACCAGAGACATGTGCGGAGCGCACAACTTCGACAGCAGCGAGGCGTTACGAGACAACATCGCGAAGCTGCGCCAGTGCATCGCCCAGGGCCGCCTTCATGAGCTGGTGCAGGAGCTGAGAGGAGAACGGTTAGCGGACGACAGCTTTGAGTTACGACACTGGGATTGACAGACCGACAAAGCCACGGATATTGGTGCGATACCGACAGGAAAGGTAGTAATTCTGACCGCATGTGAGATCCGCAATTGGACGATTTAGGGGGATTAGGATGAGCAAACATGATCACGAACATAGAGTTGCAAGCGGTTTCCTTTGAGTTTTGGTGTAGTGACCATCTAAGCAAACGTGATAGGAAAGAAGGACGCCGCTCATAGCCTTCGAGGAACCGGGAAGAGCAGAGACCGGGAGAGATCAAAGAGATGGCTCAGATTCATTGACTTTCGTGATTGTATGTTCAACGCAAGGCCGTCATGGAAGTGGATCAATAGCCGTGTTAAATGCCAAGAAGCATCTGACAATCAACAATCATTGGAGCTGACGAGCTAGGGAGATAGGATCTATTTCTGGAGCTAGCATTATGACTTTCTGATCGATCTTTTCGGAATTTCTGAACGCTTCTTAAGATGTATAGCTCAATATGAAGTGATTGCCGCCAGCTTATAGGTGATCTTCGAGGTTCCTGATCATCAGTTTATGAATACTGCTTTATATCCGGTGGCATCGTGCGATCAATGAGTGGTAGCCAAATTGCATTATGCCGCGAGCGCGACTGCATGCTGCAGTGACAAGGCATATGCGCCGATCATTGTTCCAGAATTCCATGTTGCACCCAACGCCAACCATATGTACGTACGCTTCCACGCAAGATTCGATAGTTCGTTGTCCTTAGTAAGCCTAATTCCACATGCATCAGCATGCGCTGCTGCTTGCAGTTGCGGCCCTCTGCAGGTAGAGCACCGCGCTTTGAAAAGAGCGTACTCATTTGGGCCAGCGCGGCTTATCCGGCACGAACGAGATATAAGTGCCAGGCCGGATGAGTGGTCGGGCGCATCCGGCGCCCCCTGCGCGTTTTGGGCGGTCCGCGGTTAAGGACGACATGTTATCTTGCCTCACTCTTGTAAAGCACTTCAAGGGTCTTTTTAGTAGCTGCTGATCCTCTTCAAAGTCGACTTCCTTAACATTCTGTTACGAACCACGAACACGACAGAGATCCGCCGCTTTAAGAAGCACAGGCTTACTACAGGGCAGGCCTTTTGCTTCCACACTCGCCGCAGAATTTGGAGGTCTCCTTTGGAAACGCGGCACCGCACTCGTCGCAAAATTTCGAAGCGTTTCCGTTGCTCGTCGTCCCGTTCTTCTTCGTACCTTCACCGGCCAGCTCTATCAACTCGCTTTTCTGCTCAGCAGCGGGAAGATTCCTCCCAACGGCAGCCATATTGAGGTTGTCATCCCGCCCGCTTGAGCCCCCCACAGCTTTCTGCTTTGTGCCCAAACCTTCAGACGACGCCCTCAAAGCACCGTCAACTTTTCCCGCCACCTTCATTCCCCCATTCGCCGAAGCCCTCAAACCCTCCGCCCCAACCCGGCCGCCCTTCGCGCCGCCGATTTTGGGCGACGTGCTTTCCTCGGGGGACGCTTCCCTGGCACCCGGCGCCACGTGTTTTGTCCCGGAGATTGCACCCGGGGAGAGGTTGTTCGAGAGCGACGCGGCCGTGAGCGCTGTCCCGGCCGGCTTAGCGGGTTTCTCGGCGGTGCAGCTGCGGTTGTGGATCTTGAGCGCCTCCGGCTTGAAGCGCCGCCCGCAGTACGCGCAACTTTCCAGGACCTCCTTCTCCCAGTGCTCGTACATGCTGCGAAGGGAAAAGAAGCTTCACACTGCAGTGCCTCAGGTGCAGAGTGAGAGAAAGGGATTCAAAGCTGCCAAATACTTTTGATCACAGCGTAGTGCAAGAGTCTCTTGTGGATTCCTCAAAATGCGATCATTGGCTTGGTGGGCGAAGGGCACTTTGGCGAGCGTGCAAGTCAAATGTTTTCGTGGCTTTCGATAACCCCTATGGAAAAGCAGTCGGATTCCCAAGGAGAGTGATTAAGGAAAGTGACTTTTTCAGGACCATCCGCATGCTGCAGTAGGTTGATTGATTAGACGAATAGACGTTTGTAAAAGTGCTCGTCCACCGACGGGGATTGCCAGGTTCTGACCCCGTCGTTTCAAACAACGAGCGAATAGGCGAAGTTTTCCCGATAGATTTTCACCGGACGTGAGCCGCAAAGCGCCAATTAGAAGCCCATGTTTCCAAAGAGATGCAGTTAAAAAGGGAACGTGCGTCCTTACGCTTCGTTGAAAGCGTCGATTTCTTTTGGCGAAGCCGGCCCGTTGAGGATGGGCAGCTCTTTAGGCGGTTGCGGCAGCGGCCGGCGCTCCTTTTTTGGCTTCTTGTTCTCTTCGTTGAGCCACTTCTCCTGTTGTCAGTCAAAGAGGGCAGGATTCGCGAGGCATTTCGACGGTGCAAAACAAGATGGGGGCCAAATGAATGTGAGTGCTGCCACAGATAAGTGAGCGGTGACGATCAATTCGACAAACAGGTTTGCCTTCAGAATATCAGGAGGGTCGAGTGGCCGTGAAGACTATCGTGTTGTATGTATATGGAATGCTCGCCCTTGCAAAGCGGCGCTTGATCTAGTGTGTCGTTGTATAAGGAGAGCTCCTTGAGCTAGCATGACAACTTTGACATCTCAGGAGGAATGAAATCAACAAAGTTTCTTTGAGTAATTTCACACTTCTGAGGTTCTTTCGAAGTTCGTCGGGTGCAAACTCTGGACTTACCTGGCATTGGGGCATGTGGATCGGCAGGCTGCAAAGAGGACGTACTTTCAATTCGAATAATGACTGAAGGAGCATCTCTGGGCACTCATCTATCTGTTGGGAACATTCATACAAAAGATAGTGAGGCTGAGCCTGTTGCAAAGCTTTTCAAGTGCTACCGGTGTGCACAGTCTCACGTGGGAGCTCACACGCAATTCAAATCTCTCAGATTTGGACTTGTTGCACTAACAATGCAGATCAAATCGATAACGCTGGATCCGTGTGCCCTGCTGCGTGGCATCAGCTTTGAACACGGCTGTGCATATGCTCCAGCGCCCTCACCAACTTTGAGCAGATGGACAAATGACGCCAGCATCGATCCATTTTTTGATGACCTGCTCACCTCTTCGTTCCAAATTCTCTGCCGCATAGGTAGCACGTCAACATGCGGGGCCGAGCAGCCGGGTTGCTGGCAACAGCGATATCCATGGTTTTTATATTGAGGCGGAAATGACTATTTTTTATCAAATAAGGGCCCAGATGCTCAGTATATCGGGACACCGAGATCTTGGTACTGTGACACACTATTGGCCTGTTAGTGAGTGGTTTACTGTCGGGCTCGGATGATTGGGGGCCGTTGAGCGGTTCAAGACTCCTGAGCCCCTGGCTCCTGAGGTCCTGACCCAGCGACCGCACCGTCACCTAGCTCTCTAGCTTCACTTTTGGACAGATTGGCAAAGACAAGATAGAAGTTTGTCCGTGGTGTTTTTGGGCACTGACAAGAAGGTGTTCGCAAAGACGTCTGCTGGGCATTGGCGATTGAGGGAGGTAAGTGATGCAAAGGAGTTTTACTAACTGGCAGTGGGTCGGACTGGACCGTCCTGCTGGGCCTATCGGAATCAGACGGCCCTTCCTTACGTACCTAGTATGTCAGGATCATCAGAGCCAAGCGGAACGGACATCACAGAATCTCCTTGCTAAGTTGCTTAGCAGACATTTGATCCGACGGCAAGATTCGACGGGGATTCGACACTGTCGACAGGACATCCGATGACCAGATTGGCAGGATTTGGGTTTCCCTGAGCAGGCCCGACAACGAGCCGTCATTAGGGCGTCATTAATGAGTTTAAGCTCTCTCGCAAGCGCTCTACCTATTCTTGCTTAGCCAATCGTATGCGCAGACAGCCTGGACAGCAGGTTCTTAATCCGGCCCGTTCTTGATGCGTCAGTGTGTGCAAACATTGAAATCTGCGTCATACAATAAGTAGGTATATTGAATGCTGGTCGGCGTCAACCAGTTGGAAAATCCACCGGACCGTCGTGTTATGGCAGTCTGACTCTAAGGATCAGCACGAGAAGATCGGAGGAGATCAGAAAAGCAGAGAGAGGCATCTGACTGGGAGTTTGTACTCTTTCATGCAATGATGGGTCTTGGCCTTTACCGGACGCCGTCCAGGATAAGTTTGCGCGCGTAGGAAACTGGAAGTTGTTCAAAGCCGTCGATTGAAGCCATCGACGGTTATGAAAGTCATGGTAACGGTGGTGACTCGACAATGGTTAACAAGGATCTGTGCCTCATCAACTAGGTGCGGTGAGTGCAGACTTTCAGAACAGCTCACCAGCCAGCTCTGACTCTGAGTCTGCCATGGCATCCACTCTTAGCCTATTTTCCAATTTTTGGCACATTGCCCTTAAAAAGTTCAAGCTGAGTCCATTGAAGGCGCAGGTCTGATCGTCTGAGGCGCCAATTGCAGGTCCTCCGATCTTGTTCTTCCTCCAGAGACAAGCATTTGGGACAAGTTTGCCTTTGTAGCTATGGCGGAAGCGCGGGATACTTGGCGCTCTGGGAATGCGGGGCCTAGCCCGGAAGGCGCGGTTCCTGCCTTTAGGCCCAGCGCAATGAGGGCGGCTCCGGGTTTGAATATGCGACCTGGGCCTGGCAATGGGGTGCCTGCTGAGAAGAGGGAAGGAGAGGCAAAGGCAGAGCAGTCCGGGGAGGCGGAATTGAGTTCAGAGGAGAGGCAAAGGCAGGCAGAGGAGAGGGAAAGGGCGGAGCGGCAGAGGGAGGAAGAGGAGAAGCAGAGGCGGAGCGAGGAGCTCAAGAAGGGGCTGCATCCATTGCAGGTGGGCTGGTGGAGGTTTTCAAATCCGACAAATGGTGGCTACTTTTGTGGTTCCTGCATGGCATCTGGTGAAAAATAAGAACGTCGGAAAGCAATGAAATTGACAAAGAGCAAAGCTATTTTGATGTACGCTGGCCTGATCCGAAAGTCCAAAGGTGCATTCCTTCTGGTCGCCAGAAGCGGAGTGTGTGTGCTGATTTGCCCGTCTGCTCAACGGAAAACTCTTATAGAGCACACCATTCCTCAATCGTAATCATACCTTTCCAATTTCGCCGTCGACTGTCCAGAAAAAAGTGGACATGTATCAGGGTTTCAGGGTGCCATCATTGAATTTGCCACCCACCACCGGCCACGGCATGCTTTTGCCAAACACGCTTCCATTGGACCTGAAGTGGTGTGGAACCGCACAGGGTTTTATCTCCCGACCTTCCTTTCATTGTTCCAGACTGCATCACCAGATTGCAAGTGGCAACTCTCCCACCGTCATCTTAGTTGGTGTCTTTCTTTTCCACTTGTCTTCTTCGCATTTCCTGAAAAGACGCTAGGAGGGTTCCGAGAAACTGTGGCCCGTTATCCTCCGGCCGCCGAAGTTAACAATCGCTGCATTCTTGAGGTCCTGGCAATTGAGTTGGTCAGAGTCGCTACGACGAAGTGACACGTTTCGACCTATAATGTGATCTGCCCCATTATTGTGCAGGACTGCTACGTCTTCTGGTTCTCAAAGAGGGGTTCTGGGCCAGCGGCGCAGCGTACAGCATACGAGGACACAATCAAAAGGATCTCGGAGTTCAGCACCGTAGAGGGCTTCTGGTGCACGTACTGCCACCTTCTGAAAGCGAACGCCCTGCCAAACTACACCGATTATCATCTCTTCAAGAAAAGCATTAGGCCGCTGTGGGAGGTACGAGGTCACCGTAAGACTCATTGCCAGCTTGATGCGATGGTTATGTTTTTAAAAAGTACAAAAGGCTGGTGGGGTCGCGAACTTTGGGCGTTACGTTCAGAGTCGTCCGTCCTGGTTGAGACTCGTGCTCGCTGAAATAAGGTTCGTCATCTCCCAGTGGCACCTTGCTTGTGACCCCAGTAAATAGAAAATAGTGATTTTTGTCATATTGAGCCACCGTTTGGTGGCTGCTCCTTCAAACAATTTACCACGTGAGCACAGGCTTTTGTGGACGACACTCCGCGCATAAAATTTTCTTTGAACTTGCTATTCCTGCCCGTCATACGCCCGACAAAGGGTGGCCATTTTTATTTTCGTGCTACTTTTGATGAGGACCGGGATATCATCCACATGTTGAAACATGCATGGGATGTTATGGTCGGTGTAAACCACCTTCTCAAAGAATCTCTGTGTTGTTTGAAATAGCTTTATTGGTGAGGGAGTCCTGCGGCCAGTTTCAGTGCGATTGGGCTGGCATATTGTTTCAACAGGAGATTGACAGGATCGTTGGAGCTCAGGATTCCGAAAGAGCTGGGATGGTTTCATCCATCATCTTTGCACATTGCCAGTACAAAGCTGAAGGCCCACCTCTGGTAATGTCTGATTCGCTTGCTGTTTCTTCAGGACGATCGCAATCGGGCTGGGGGCAAGTGGATACTGCGGTTCAACAAGAAGCTGTCTGGTCGGTATTGGGAGGAACTGGTGAGCTCCGTACCCTGGATGCTCTTAACTCTAGCCTGTCGTTTTTGAGCAGAAAGTAAACCGCAAAGCTTTAAGAGTTTGAAGGCCTTTTTTGTGTACAGCCTCTGGGCAACATTGCACCTATCCGCAGTGGTTAGAAGCTCCGGTCTACATTCGTGAGTGCTCAACGCATTGGTGCACCATAGTATAAACTTCCCGAAAACATCACGGGCTGGTGGATCTTTGACCCGTATTAGCTCTTGCTTAGACGTATCTTTGGCCAGGTGCTTACGCGTGGAGCTGGGCAGCTTGAAAGTGTACTAGCGAAGTCAGGTGTTCGAATCGTCGAAGGATTTAAGCAAATCTCTTAAATTCATTATTTGGCCAGTAAGCGAACAGTCTCGTAAATGCGGACCACCCACTTTTCAAGACGTGCGGTTCGACAACCACTCGTGTTTTCTCTCAGCTGTTGCCATCATGGCCTCACCCTCTTCTTGAAACGTAGTGACACATCTTCAGCACAGGGAATGAGCGCGCAACTTCAATCCCTTGTAAGGCTTCGGTGCGAAATTCTTCCACTGCGTGCTTATGATGACGTTCTTGCCATACATTCTAACTTCGTTGACGGCTCTAGACCCCTCGATTTTGGTATTCAGGGACCTTCTGACCAGACCTTCGTCGGTGCAAGCACGCTTCCGCCCTGGATCCGTCTCCAATTCCCTTCCAAATACACCCGAACTTTCCCCCGCAGGTGCTGGCCCTGATAGGCGACCAGGTGGACTATGCGGACTCAGTGTGTGGCGCCGTATTGAGCTTGCGTAGTGGGGAGGACATCATCAGTGTCTGGAATCGGGATGCGTCCGATCAGCAGGTCAGCCCACTCCTTCCACGTCCGTTATAACGTGACCAGGAATTTCACGGGTTTGAGATTTGAGCGTGTGTATCGGTCGGCAGACGCCCAGCAAAGCTTCTGTTGAACTCTTTATTGAAGGTACGGGAGAAAGGGACGTAATCCGAAAACGAAAGTCTAGGCGGAGAGAAGAATGCAGAACAGATCTCGTCAGTATTACAGCATGGATCTCGTCTCGAATGTGAGCACTTACTCATTTTAGTCAAGAGCGTCGCAACCTATGTGCACGGGGGACAACAGGGGTGGCCAGGTGTCCCCCTGTTGTTGCTCGGTCTGCATTTGGTGGGTGAATGGGTTCCTCTTCTCTTGTGCTGCCGAATTGACAATTACAAAGCGCCGCTCGTAATAGAGGCTTGTGGGGTATCGCTGAGCAACACAAAGCACGAAGCGTGATGGCAATTGAAACTTCATTTGGGATCCACAACTCGATGAGAAGAGCTTTCAACTCAGTCTGCCACGAACAACACTTCACATTCTGGACCTGTGTCCGACCTGCGGCGGAGTTGGTCTTGGCAGCACGGCTTCTCTAGGTGATGGAGAACGCTGCAGAAGATACTCTGGCTGTATTTTCGAGAGCCCGAAAGTGCATGCTGGGGTGTCAGAGACGATTTATGTTGGCCGGGAAAGTTGTGCCTGGAAAACTTTTAGCTGGTCACCCATATCTGGAGTGACTCAGAAATTGCCGAGATTAGCCCAAGAAAGATCCTGGCATGTATGTCTGCTCCGCAGGCGACGATGCTACTGCGGGACTCCATCAAGAAGCATCTTCAGCTGCCCCCTAGTTACTTGATGGTACGTCCAACCCCTCCCATTATCCTCCTTAGCGACCTTGCCGTCTTTGCCTGTGTGTAAGAGCCTCTTCCACTTACCACTCTGCTCAATCGAACCGCTTTGGCTTCCAAAAATGGGGGTTACAGGTGATAGTTGAAGGTTCGGATATGATTAAGGACCGGTGCTTCTCTTTGTAACACTCTACTTCGTAGCTGCTAACAAGTACCTTCTTCGCTTCCAGGAGTACAAACCGCACGACGCCTCTCTTAAGGACCACTCGTCATTCAGGAACACTTGGTTGCGAGGATGATGCGACCCCCATATCTTGCAGTTTTTAAACGAGGATCTGCTCAGTGTGGTCTCAAGTGGCTGTGAAGATTGCGCCTTGCAAACCTTCACGGCGCACCACCTTGTCTTTGTGTTGTGCCTTGCGTCACATGTATTCACACTTACATCTATACAATATGCTGTTGCATGCAAAATCATAATATGGCAAGACCGTACGGTGAGACGAAACTTCTGACCTGCTACAATACCATTCAACAAGGCGGTCTCACGCAATCAAAGACGGTAAATGGAATGCGATCCTCACAATACCACTTTGCTTGCGATCCTGCAATGCATGTCTTAACTTTGTAACTCCACATATGTTATCTCTAACATGTCACCTTGCCCAGACGGTTCGAGGCTAGCATGGCGTCAATATCACATGCCGCGAAACGCATCGCTGAGTTGCATGGGCATGTTCATCAATTTGAGAAGTTTCGCTCTAGGTTGGCCAGCAACAAATCTCTACCCCAAAATGAGTCATTTGTTGCAAAGTTAAAGCTTGCCTCTCCATGAAACGGCTACTATTTAAATATCGCGAATCATATGCTGCGTAGCTCTAGGCTTAGGTTCATATATGCCGTAATTCGTGGTTTAATTGTTGAAAGGGTCTCAATGACTTGAAGTATCAGAAGTATGCTCGTTTTGCTATTGTGGCCGACACCTTGAATATTTGCCAGCCTGTGTTGGCTATTGCCGACCTCGAGTCCGCAAAACCTTTGATTGACAAACTTCGCCGACCTTGTATTGCCAAATTTCAGGCTTTCGGCGGCCGCTTATCGATGTCGACCTTCTTTAGTGACCTTCCACCTGGAATCAGCCCGAAATCCTGCTGCATGCTAAGCCCGTGGCGGCCGGCGGCTTCATACGGACATCATCATACCGTCCTTTGCCAACGGTTGTCACGAGGCCGTTATCGAAATCATATATAATGTAGTGTTAATCTTCTAACCAAAAAGCTCCAAAAATTCTACTACGCCGTCGGACCTTTGATCTTGTGGCTGCATGGCCTTTTTAAAAACAGCTCGGATACAAATGCTATTTCTTTTCTGAAGAGATTGAATAATGGTCAATTCTCCGGTAAATTACGGGCCTCGGTAACTTTGGAAGGGCCGGCTCGAAAATGTATGAAACATGCTCGAACCTGCCGGTCGGTCTTTGCCGGCTCCCACGCTCTACCGGCCTTAGCCAACTTGTGCTGCTAGAGTGCTAGCATTTGCCGACCTTCTTTGCCAACCATCTTTTGCCGGCAAGTTGCGATCTAAGTTTGCCGGCCATTGGGCTACATTTACTATTTAGTGCCGACTTAATCTTCTAAGCCCTGCCGAATGCCGACCTTCCGATGCCGGCCTTCCGCCGCCGGCCTTCCGCTGTCGGCCTTTGCCGACCTTTCATGTCATGTCAGCCTTTGCCAGCCGTTGTCAGTGTGCATGCTGGCCAACCTTGAGTCCGTTGCCGGCCTTCCATTGCTGCAGCCTTTGCCGACCTTTTTGCCGGCCTTTGCTCCGCCTTTGAACAAGTTATTTGATGAAGGAATCTTCTGTGGCTTTGCCGGCCTTCGAGACTCTCAAGTTGCCGGCCTTTGCCGACCTACTTCTGGGGAACCTTTTCAGACCTTTTTCGGCAGCCTTCAAGCCGACCTTTTTTGCTAACCTTTGCCGGCATTTGCTGTGCCGACCTTCCGCTGCCGGCCTTTGCCGCCTCCTTCTGCCAACCTAAGTTTGCCTGGATCGAGATGTTAGCCTTTGCTGACTTAGTTTGATAGCCTTTGCCGACATATTCAATGGCCTTTGCGAGTCGGCCTTCTTCTCAAATTGGTGACTTCGCCGGCGGCCTTTGCCAATTCTAGGTTTGCCGGCCTTTGCCGACCTTTTTGCAAGCCTTTGCCGACCTTTTATGCCGGCGTTTGCCGGCCCTTTGCCAGATGCCAACTTTCCGCTGCCGGCTTTCCGCTGCTGGCCTTTGCCAATCTTTTATGCCACCCTTAACCAGGCTTTGCCACGTGCTGGCCTTCCGCTGCCGGCCTTTTGCTGAGGGCCTTCAGTTGCCGACCGTTTATGGGCCAGCCTTTGCCGGCCTTTGTTTGTGCGAAAATTTTGCTAGGTACCGGCCTCCCGCTGCCAGCCTTTGCTGACCTTTCATGTCAGCCTTTGTCGGCCTTTGCTTGTGCCGACCTTCCGCTGCCGGCCTTCCGCTGCCAGCCTTTGCCAACCTTTCTGCCGG